TTTATGGCTCAGCAGAGGCAAGCTGAGAAGACTTTTTTATGAAACTGATATATTGGCTTGAGAGTGTTGATGTTTTTAAGGCAAGGGCTTTTACCACACCCCAGAACCTATCACAGGTGGAAGTAGGGTTGGTGGGTTCTGTGTCCTGGGGTCAGAAAAGTTGGGTGGCTGCCAGACTTCTCCCACCACGTAGCAGCTCTTTCTCTGCTTTGCACCAGGGCCAGAGAGAAAGAAGGGGGTCCTCTGCTTACAATAAAAAGTTTGAAGATCATCACTTTAAGCAAAAGCAGTTTCAGAAAGAAAGTACTTTGACTTTTTTGACTTCTGGCCGCTAGTGTCACCCAGTGAAATATACTCTCTGAGATGCTAGAAGAATAACAGCCACGAAAAGCATTTCATCCTTTGCCTTTCAGCAGTTCTCTTTACTGCTGTGGTATAGGTGCTACTCCTCTGCTTCTCTTTGACTTAAAGCTATTTGAGGATTTCTATTTCTTTTTTTTTTTTAGTTTAATAAATCAAAGACTATCAAAGGATACTTAAAGGCTGAATAGAATCCAGTGACAATGAAGTTAAATTAGTTAAATTAAATTGAAGAAACAAAAATTCAATATTAACAATACAGTGTATTTGCCAGGTTCTGGGTTTCCTGTATACAATCCCATCAGTAGAAACATCTTTAAAACATGAATGCTGAATTTAGCAAAATGATATACTGTATCCAGTGATATCAGGTATCTGATGAGAGTGTTTTTTTTGAAAGTTTCTTCTCTTTTTCAGAGGAACTTTAGGAAATTCAAACAAATACTGCAATGCAGTGTTTTAGAAACATGTTTAACTGCAGAAGTACCCACAATGAGGATTATCTGGTAGTTTGGTGGTATGGGATGGTAATGTGAAATTAAGAGAAATGATAGTGTGAAATATAAAAGGACAACTAAGTAATCTTTAATTAAAAGTTTAAGGCAAAAATACAAAATGGTGAGCTCATTATTTTATGTTCTGTCATAACTAGAAATTGCTACCTTCAAAATATTCATTCTTTGTGACTGCTTATTTTTGGATTGCCTACTATTTGACAGGCAAGGTACTAGAAGCTACCTCAGCACAGATGGACGAAATAAATAAGCGTCTCTATAAAGAAAGACCCCCTGGCATAGGAAGTTACTGTTACATTCTTAGAAATTTAATTGAGTTGGCTTTGGAACTAAACAGAAAATTTTTCTCAAAAAGTTACCTTTCTGATTAAAAATGCTTACATACACAATTAGGCAACATTTCCAAGACTCATATGTGCTTAGAAACTCTAACTTGGGAACTGACTAGTTTAGTTGATGTGATGCCTATGTCATGAACTGCCTGTGTATTTCTCCCAAAGTACACTCGTACATGCATTTAAAAAAAAAAAAAACAGTAATAAATGTTTTATCTATTCTTAATACCTAGTTTCAGTAAAATTTGAGGGTTGCAGCTTTTTAAGCTGGACATCAAAGGCAATTTAAACCAATCATTATACATATGAAACAGATGTCTAGATTTTGTAACACCATCAGTGTGTCAGCAAATCTGGGAGAAGCAACTGTGTAGAGTATGTCAGGTTGAATATGTTACTGTTGTTGTATTTAATCTTCATCATCTCTATGTAGAGGCACTATCTGAATTTCTTTGGCTGTCCTTTCTGCTATTGTTTTTCTATTTGCAGTAATTATTCTTCATGACAGCAAATCAAATGGTCCACCTGTTACATCCATTAGCACTCCATCAGCTTCAGTAATGATGATGCCAGCTCCTGCCACATCCCAGCAGTGAATTCCCATTTCATAAATGCATCTGCAGCACTAGTTGCCACAAGGCACATATTAATAGCTGCTGATCTAACGCCTTGAATCCCATGAATGGGAATGCAATGAAGCTTTCCAGATTAGCATGAATAACTCTTATAATCTCTGGTATTCTGGAAGAGCCGAACTCTGTCACCCAGAGTGACTTAATATCATCTTGTTGCGAAACCTGTAATTTTTGGCCATTACAAAAATTCTTTTTCCTTTCCTGCCAGTATACATCTTACTCTGCACACGGCTGTATGCAACTCCAAACTCTAAAGCCAGTCCAACAGCTACAGAAGGAAATCTGTGTACAAAGTTAGTTGTTCCATCAATAGGGTCAATGATCCAGTTGGGGTTGGTAATTAAGAGACATATCTCCAGCTGTCACAGATTTCTCACCAATGAAATTGAAACGGACACTTTTTCTTTATGGGAGAGAGAAGCATTTTTTTTTTCTACTTTTTGGTTAGTAGCAGTTACCAGATCAGCTGGAAGACTAAATCACAGCACTCATTTCATTTTTTAGAGCTTCATGAACCACCTCTCCAGCTTGTCTTGCTAGGGTTACTGCATAATCCATTCATTCCTGCCCAGGATCAGTTTCGTTATGATACCGGTGGGATCCTTCAGAATCTGGTTTCTAATGACAAATAATAGCCAAGCAGCTATGTTGGCACTTAATATCAATGACCCTATTGAGTTGAATAGAGGAGATGGCATTAGCTTGGTGTATAATTTTATTTAAGAAGTAGTTTTAAATTTTAGTCATTTATTTCTATTCCTATAGAAATCAAAGGAGTTTTATAAGAAAAAAGAATGACACCTTTGAGACTGTTGATTCCTCTGTTATTACTAAGCTGGTGCTCTTTATTTTATAACTTGGAAAATCAGGGACCAAGAAACAATGAGTCCAGCTTTCCATTAGTAGTGTGGATTCATCAAATGGCTATGTAGTATTACTTTAATAATTCTAGTAAGGAGGATCTTGCCTCCTCCAAAGACAGGGCATTCTCTCTTGGTTCACTTCTGTTTCCTAAAAATGTTTTCCCCTTCACTCAGATAGAGAACTTTCTCATAGGGACCTAGTTTTGTTTCATAGTAAAATCTTTAAGGCAAACTCATCCTCCTTACTTCAAATAGGATAAGAATTACGCTCGCAAATGAAAATAGTTCTAATTTGTGCTAGAGAATAAGCGCTCACACTTACTCATTCTATTCATTTTAATGTGGTTTAGGTTTCCATACCAATGAATGATTTAGCCTCAGATTTTTTCAGTATTTTGGGTATAAAATTTTTTTTTTAACTTTTTTTTTTTTTTAAGATTTATTTATTTATTTATACAAGCACTGGGTACAGTCAGAAGCGCGGGAGGGTGAAAGAGTTCACCAGAGCCAGGGTGGGGAACAGAACAGGCAGAGTGATGAAATACACTGCTGAAGGGAGCAGTGGGCGGCAGGATCTGTGCGCCACATGGGACCCTCGCTGGTGGCCGGGTATCGAACCCGTGCTGCAGAGGCTGAGGGCAGCTTCACAGCCCAGCGCTTAACCGCTGCGCCACCAGGGGAGGCCCTGGGTATAAAATTATTAACGTGTGTTTGTGCCAACCTAATTCAATTTTTCTGGATATGTTAGTCATTCTTGTGAATTTCAGCGACTGTTCTCTATGGTGATGCCCTTGGGGCATAATAAGATCTGTAGGACTGTTTTCCTATTCATTTTAGTTCAAGTTAATAAATATTTAGTGAGTCCCTACATTGGCTTGCATGCAAAGGGGATACAGAAATAAATGAGAAGTCAGCCAAAATAGCTCAACTGGGAGAGTGTTAGATTGAAGATATAAAGGTTTTTGGTTTGGTCCAGAGGTGTTGGAGCTTTGTTGTTTCTCAGGAAAGCTGTTACTTAAAAGAAGGAGACAAATACTTGCAGTGAGGGGCCAGGTGTATGGATAGATTGTGGGACACAAAGGTAACACTCCTGCCAAAACAGGCCAAGTGCCAGACTAGGAAGTAAACAGGAGGATGCCGTGAGGATGGATGACAAGGTGAAGGAGGTCTAGGACCCATGGAGCAGGCAGAGAGCTGTCTCACCCAGTGCAGCAGCCAGCTTGCTTGCTAGCTTGCTCACTTGCTCACTCAGGCCCAGCCTGTCTGTCCCCAGATCAGGGCTGCCTCCCCACCTCCACCCTACCCCCTTTTTTCTAGAGCACCAAGAAATAGGAGTCAGGAGAGAGAAGGCAGGAAAGCATGGCTGGGCTTGGGAGGGGCACTCACACTTGTGCCTCAAGGAACTTGGGCTTTGTCCTCTCAGCAGTGGGAACCCATCATAACCTTTCAGTCAGGAGCCTGATACAATAGAGAGATTTTATAAATTCTGGCTGCATTGTGGAGATTGAGTAGGGAGAACGTTTTTGAAGCTTTGATCATTTGTATACCAGCTTTGCTGCTTTTCCCATAATGTGACATACTTTTGGGATGTTGAGACTAACCAGTAGGAATTTCTTAAACACCTGCGAGCCATTATGTCTGAGTGTTGGTGACTTTTTTTTCTTCTTCTTTTTTTTTTTTAAAGATTTATTTATTCATACAAGGGCTGGGGTAGAGGCCAAAGTTGGCGGGGGAAGGAGAGAGGGGTTTCACCACAGACAGAGTGGGGAACAGAACAGGCAGACTGACATGAAATGCACTGCTGAGGGGAGCAGCAGGTGAGTCAGGAGAGGTCTGCTGCGCCATGTGGGTAGCTCCCTGGCCGGGGATCGAACTCGTGCTGCAGTGGCTATAGATAGCTTCATAGGTTGCCTCTTAACCCCTTGTGCCACCAGGGAGGCCCTTGTGACTGTTTTTTATAGTTTTAAAGTCCCTCCCTTGTTAGTAGACTTACTGTTCACACTGATAGTAGTGTACTTGCCACAGTGCTCTCTACCCTTCCCTTCTAATACACAGCTGGCTAAAAAATCCACAACAACCCTGGGGACTGACTCATGAGTTCATTACATGACCTTCAGTGAGTTGGCTTGGAGACATCTATTTTGATTTCTAAAGGATTCTTTTTCTGGTTGTTACCTTATTCTAGATCTTTATAGCTTAGCTATTCAACAGCTTCATATTAGTGAAATGTGATTTGTTTAAAAAATCATAATCACTCATTTAAATACATTTTTAAAATTTATTTTAATATAGGTGATTGGAGTTGTGCTTCAAAAATTTCAGCAGTTCACCAGTATTTTATCTGCCAACAATAAGCTCTTTACTTGATTGCACCATGAAAAAGCTGCTAATGAGACTTGTTGAGCACAAAAACGAACGTGCAGAAGCAAAAGCCATTGTTTTCAAATGAAGAATACCGAACAATTTTAAGCCTCAATGCTTTTGAATCACCACTGAGATTTTCTAATAACATCAGAATGGCAAGCAGGCGAAAGTCAACAATACCCTGCATGGTCCTCGCCAGTGAACAGGACCCAGACCTTGAGTTAATATCAGATTTGAATGAAGGGCCTCCGGTACTTACACCTGTGGAAAACACCAGAGCCGAGAGTATCTCAAGTGATGAAGAAGTTCATGATTCTGTGGATTCTGACAATCAGCAAAATAAAAAAGTCGAAGGTGGCTATGAATGTAAATATTGTACTTTTCAAACTCCAGATCTAAATATGTTTACTTTTCATGTGGATTCAGAACATCCCAATGTTGTACTCAACTCATCCTATGTTTGTGTCGAATGCAATTTTCTTACCAAAAGGTATGATGCACTTTCTGAGCATAATCTGAAATACCACCCAGGAGAAGAGAATTTTAAGTTGACAATGGTGAAACGAAATAACCAGACAATCTTTGAACAAACAATAAATGATCTGACCTTTGATGGCAGTTTTGTGAAAGAGGAGAATTCAGAACAAGCAGAATCTACAGAAGTTTCTTCGGGAATATCTATCAGTAAAACTCCTATCATGAAAATGATGAAGAATAAGGTGGAGAACAAACGGATTACAGTTCACCCTAACTCTGCTGAGGACGTTCCTGAAGAGAAAGAGAATGAAGTCAAACCAGACCGTGAAGAAACTGCAGAAAATCCAAGTTCTTCAGCTTCTGAATCCAACACAAGTACTTCCACTGTAAACAGAATACATCCAAATACGGCCAGCACCGTGGTGACCCCCGCGGCCGTCCTTCCTGGGTTGGCACAGGTGATAACCGCTGTGTCCGCTCAGCAGAATTCCAACTTGATTCCCAAAGTCTTAATCCCTGTTAATAGCATCCCTTCCTACAATGCTGCATTGGATAACAACCCCCTTTTACTTAACACCTACAACAAGTTCCCTTACCCAACTATGTCAGAAATCACAGTTCTTTCTGCTCAAGCGAAATACACAGAGGAACAGATCAAGATATGGTTTTCAGCCCAGCGGCTAAAACATGGTGTTAGCTGGACTCCCGAGGAAGTGGAGGAGGCCAGAAGAAAACAATTCAACGGAACAGTCCACACTGTACCTCAGACCATCACGGTTATTCCTACACACATTTCCACGGGGAGCAACGGTTTACCATCCATTTTACAGACATGCCAAATAGTTGGGCAGCCAGGTCTGGTCCTTACACAGGTAGCTGGGACCAACACCTTGCCAGTAACGGCCCCTATTGCCTTGACAGTGGCAGGCGTTCCAAATCAAACCAACATACAGAAAAGCCAGGTACCTGCCGCTCAGCCCATGGCAGAAACGAAGCCAGCAACAGCAGCAGTTCCAACTTCTCAGCTTGTCAAACATGAAGCCGCACTGGCAAACCCTGACTCATTTGGCATTCGGGCCAAAAAGACTAAGGAGCAACTGGCAGAATTGAAAGTGAGCTACCTTAAAAATCAGTTTCCCCACGACTCAGAAATTATCAGACTTATGAAAATCACAGGCCTGACAAAAGGAGAAATTAAAAAATGGTTCAGTGACACCAGGTACAACCAGAGAAACTCAAAGAGCAATCAGTGCTTGCATCTCAACAACGAAGCCTCCACCACCACTATTATTATAGACTCCAGCGATGAAACCACAGAATCCCCAACTACTGTTACTTCACAGCATAAACAATCCTGGAATCCTTTTCCCGACTTTACTCCCCAGAAGTTTAAAGAGAAAACTGCAGAGCAGCTTCGTGCTCTTCAGGCAAGTTTTCTCAATAGCTCCGTACTTACAGATGAAGAATTGAATAGGTTAAGAGCGCAAACCAAACTTACCAGAAGGGAAATTGATGCTTGGTTTACAGAGAAGAAGAAATCAAAAGCTTTAAAGGAAGAGAAAATGGAAATAGACGAAAGTAATGCAGGTAGTTCCAAAGAAGAAGCTGGAGAGATTTCTCCCGGAGATGAATCTGGGGCACCGAAGTCAGGGGCTGCAGGCAAGATCTGTAAAAAATCACCCGAGCAGTTGCACATGCTTAAAAGTGCATTTGTCCGAACGCAGTGGCCGTCGCCAGAAGAGTATGACAAGTTGGCGGAAGAAAGTGGGCTCGCTAGGACAGACATAGTTAGTTGGTTTGGAGATACCCGTTATGCTTGGAAAAATGGAAACTTAAAATGGTACTACTACTATCAGAGCTCCAATTCCAGCAGCATGAATGGTCTGTCTTCCCTTAGGAGGAGGGGGAGAGGAAGGCCCAAGGGGAGGGGCCGAGGAAGACCACGGGGGCGGCCCCGAGGAAGCAAGAGAATGAATAACTGGGACAGGGGGCCGTCGCTCATCAAGTTTAAAACTGGAACTGCAATACTTAAGGATTATTACCTGAAGCACAAATTTCTTAACGAGCAAGACCTTGATGAACTTGTTAACAAATCACATATGGGCTATGAGCAGGTCAGAGAGTGGTTTGCTGAGAGACAGAGAAGATCAGAGTTAGGTATAGAATTATTTGAGGAGAACGAGGAGGAAGAGGAAGTGGCTGATGATCAGGAAGAAGACGAAGAAGAGACAGATGACAGCGACACCTGGGAACCCCCGCGGCATGTGAAGCGGAAGCTTTCTAAATCAGATGACTGAAATGTAAGTGTTTATACTAAGTCTGTGTTCATCAACCACAAGTCACCTGTATCGACCCTCTTTACTTTTGATTCTTTCCTTCTAAAAGAGTCTATCTTTGGCCTCATGAGAGGGCTGCTGCCCTGAGCAGAGCCACGAGGTAGAGGATTATCACGTGCAGTTTGATGACTATGATGATTGTGTTATGTTGTATCACGTTGCGTGTGACTTGAATTATTTATGTTTTGTATGAAAAATGTCTAACCCTGTTTTAAGGGAAAGTTACCCATTCTCCAAGAAGGGAGACTGGTTGGAGGGGTGGGGATTCACAATGTACTAAAGGTAACTAAAGTGTATTTTTTACATACCTCCCTTCACTAAAGCTTCATTTTTTGCCTGTTTAAGGAAAGAACCAAAAACGAAAACTAAAATGAAGGGGAAACGTATACCGAAGGAAAGACTTACCATAGGGGTGAGGATGGCTCAGTTTTAGGAAACTAGGTGAACACGGGTATCTTTTCTTCTTCATTATATTTCCCTCTAAAGTACTAGATTTTCAACTAGAGTTTAAAATGCTTTCTGTTTAAAATTATTCATTTTTTTCTATTAAGAGCCAAAGGTCTGTTCTAGGCTATATATAAATCCATGTTTGTTTAGGTGGCATCTGTTTTTGAAAACTGTGATATAAATTATTTCTGCCTTATAGATAAAAAGGTAAATAACAGATTGGATATTAAATTAATTTAAGTGCTTAAAATGTCTTTTCATTCTTTGATGTAAGACAGACCTGCTGCCAGCAGAAACACTATGTGATTAACCGTACATTCTAATCATACAATTGCAAGTGAAGCTTTAAATTTGAAAGGTTTCACTTGATTCTTCCCTCTTTATTCTTCAGAGACTGGAATAATTAAAATTTCACTGTAGTTGCAAATCAAGTATTGATTTGGACTTAGGACTTCAATTCCTAATACTTCTGGAGTTGGGCAGCATAGATCTATTCTTTCCTACTCTCTGATTTGAAGTGTTCCAGGGTAAAAACTGTACTTTTTGGAGAACAGTGCAGTTATCATGAAATGTTTGCACATATCTATCAGAAGTCCAAAAGTGGTCCAAAAGTATCAGGAATTTCCACCATGTTCTCAAAAAGTAAGGGAAGAAACAAGTATAGACTTTCGTTATACTTTACTTATCAGCATATTTCCTTAGCCTTTTGGCCCTCTAACCCATCTGCTACTTTTATGCTTTTTTTTTTCTCCTGTGCAGTATTTCCTTAATTCCTCCGTGTCTTCCTCCCTGGTTTTATTTATTTTGTTTTAACAGTTATCTGTAGAGAGCTTACTGTACTAGGCATGATTCTTACTGCTTAGCAAGCCTTTGTCAGGTTTTTTTTTCATACATTTTTTTTTTTTCCCCTGGCAGGAAAGCAGATGAAACTAAAATGTGCCTAGATTAGAATAAGTCTCTTTCCAGGCCCCAGAACACAGTGTGTCTTTGTGAGTGACAAGAAGTTAAACGATGTTGTGTAGCTTTATTCGAATTGCAGCCTGGTGTTTCCTAATGTCAGAAATTTTGAAGACAGGCTTTCTTCTGACCCAGATGCATAAAATATTTTTAACAGGCATTTTTTTTTTTTATGGCTAAACACAAGAATGTGTGCTCAGCCAAGATTAAATCAACAAATTTGTTGCTGCAATGAATTGTTGGAGTAAACTCTCAGTGATTTTGTAGGGAGCTGCAATCTCCTAAAAGTAATGTGAACTTTTTGGTATAGTTTCATTTCACCGTACTTTAAGTTCTGGGGCTATTTCTTATGTTATATATTAATATTCTAATGGATACTCTGGTCAGAAAATTCACGCAAAGCCACAGTTTGCAAAAAATTGCTTCATATATGTTATATACTTCTGTGGTACAAATACAGGCATGTCTTGCTTTCAGAACATGCAAAAATAAGTTATCTAAACTTATAAAACACACGAATTAGCAAGATATCATTGTGTTCACATAATAATCTTTCATCTTATGAAAGGATTCACTATAACTTTCCTCTAGTTCCATCTTCCTTTATATATGGTTGAATTTGTAAGAACAAAAGCAGCCAAAACCTTTCCAAAGTGGTTATTACAGAAAGTGAGATATACTTACATCATTTATACAGCCAACTTTTTATATAAATAGAAAAAAATTACAAGATTCATATGTCATAGTCTGCTTATTACAATAAGCATCCTCTGAGAAGGAAATATAATAATTTTCTTATAAATTATTACATGTAGGGGAAAAAATGTCTAAGTAAGTCTGGTCTATGCAGAACATATATAAGAACTGCATATGAAATCCAGTGTGTCAGAGGGACGTGACATGTCATCTCAGAATTAGTAAGAATATGGAAGGTGAATTTTCATGGCTAATTTATTATCATTTTTGTTTCTGAAAGTGGTGAACATTAAAATACGGTTTACTTTAAAATTTTAGTTTTTTATTGTATTTTTCTTTTAGAGCTGCCTAAAATGTTGGAAGAGAATCAGTTCTTCAACTCAAGAGTCTGACTTACTGTGAATGGGCCCACTTTTTGATGACACTGAAAATGTTATGAGGCATACACATTCTCAAAAATAGGATCCAATACCCAAAAGAAATGGAACTTACTGTTGTGCCAAAGTTAAACTACTGCAGTTGGTGGAAGTTCTGCGATGTAAATAGAACACTAATTAAAGAACAACTTGTAAAAATTCAGATTTTCATACAGTACATTTTTATTCTGCTATGATGGAGACATTCTGGGTCTTAGACTTTCTGAGGGGGTGTGATGACCACTGGAGCTTGTTCTCATTTTTTGTCCAGCTTATACTGTATGTCCAGTACCATGGGCTTTGTGCCTATATTCTCTGATATGTGATTAAGCTTATAGCTTTGAGTGACCAAACAGTTTACAGTAAAAATTGTTAGAAATGGGCAAAAGAAAAAACCGGATTTATTTCTGTGTTTTATTTATCAGGCCTTGCATTATAATTAAAAGTTGTGCCTGGGCTCATACAATTCAGTGTAAGTAAAAAACCAGCCTATTGACATATTTTGGAACAGTACAACATTTTGTGGTGTCAGGACCCTGAATTGGCTCTTTGAACACGTTCCTAGTTACTACTACTTGTAATACTTCTGTTACTTTTTGTGTTGGAAGATGAATTTGCTTTTATTAAACTCAAGATAATACTGAAGAAGGAAAAGAAACTGGCATAAGTATTTGGATAGGGTGAAACTCTGAAATTAATATGGTACCAAAAATGTGAAAAAGAATCAAGTAATGAAGATACCCTTAGTGTTTTCTTACAATCATACGGAAATAGAAGTGTCAGCTCAGCTCAGATTGTTAAGAATTATCTGTCAACAAACTCATACTCTGTATCGCAGTTTCAGTGGACAGAGAAAAAATCCTGGATTGATCATAGTTAAAAGTTAGCTTTTCACTTAGGAATCATGGGAGTATTATTAACTGTTAACTCTTGCCATATCCCAATACCGAAAGTTCGTCCTAACTTATAAACTTTGTAAAGACCGGTGCTGTTCATTCCATGTTGAGAAGGACCCTTTCTTTTGTGACTATAGGACCATTTTTTTCAAAATGTGCTTTCTTCCTAGAAGAAATGTTTAGTTTATTTAGCTTTGGATTTTAAAATGTTTTTCTGAATGACCAGATGTAGTGGGCTTGGCCAGTTTATTTTATCTAATTTAATAAATAATAAATATTAAGCTCTTGTTTTTACCTAAATGTTTGTCAGCTAATGAAAATGTTATGGAAAAAGCCTTGAATATGCATGCTGCTTTCATTTTTATAAACTTTTTATTTTTTGACTACAGCTTTATTAGTAATTCCAAAATGCTGCAACTTAGCTCATTTCTTCGCTCAGACAGCTGGCTTTGTGGGTGGCTTTTTCATACTACTGTTAACTTTTTTTAAAAGAAGCAATGTAAAGACTGTAACAATTTAATGCACTAAACTAGTCTTTCTTTTACACGTTTAAAAACTTCTTAAGGCACTCTGTATTATAATGATTAAATTGCTCCTTTTTTTAAACCATGGCTAATGTGGTCTGAGTTTTGTTTGACTATAATTTTAATGTTTTCAAATTTTGAAATGTGGAGTATTGGAAATGAAGCCTTTGAATATATTTATGTCTCCCTTGCAGTATGTTAACTTTGTATAGCTGTAAATAACTATTAATAATATACCCCCCCCATCTCTTTTTTAGGCTTGGCACTTAAATCTGCTCTGATGTTTGCTAGCTTTTAAATATATTTATTCAACAGAGCAAAAGAGCTCTCCTTTCCTGGTTGATTGTGTCCTTAAATACAAAATAAAAGTAAGCAGTGATTAGTAGTTTTCAGTGATTTTTTTCCCATTAACTGATTTTTTTTTTATTATTGTGGTCAAATGTGTATAAAAAGTTTGCTGTAGTACCCATTTTTCAGTGTATAATTCAGTGTCATTAATTATATTCACAGTGTTGGGCAACCTGTCATCACTATTTCCAAAACTTTTTTGTCATCCCAAACAGAAACTCTGTAACCATTAAGCAATCAGTACCCATTCCCTTCTTCCCAGCCCCTGGTGACCTTTATTCCACTTTCTGTTTCTATGAATTTGCCTATCCTTGATGTTTCAAATAAGTGGAATTATACAATACTTCTTGTTTCATGTCTGGCTTAATAATGTTCAAGGTTCATCCATGTTGCAGCATGTATCAAAAAGTCATTCTGTTGGTGTGACTAACACTCCTCTGCGTGTATGTATGTGCACCTGCCACATTAAGATTCCAGTTTCTCCCCTCCTTGCCTTTTCAGTTTTTGAAAATTTTAAAAAATATTTATTGTAGAAGAACTGGGGTATAGGCCCGAAGTTTGGGGGGGTGAGAGGATTCATCAGAGACAGAGTGGGGAGCAGAACAGGTGGATTGACTGAAATACACTGCTGAGGGGAGCAGTGGGCAAGACAGGAGAGGTCTGCTGCCCCATGTGGGTAGCTCCCTGGCCGGCCAGGGATCGAACTCGTGTTGCAGTGGCTGCTCATGGCTTCATAGTGCTGAGACTTAACCCCTTGCACCACCAGGGAGGCCCTGTAAAGAATTGTTTTTGAGGTAACACTGGTTTACACCACTGCACATAATTTAAAGGTATGGATCACACCCTTCAGCTGTATGTTACTACACCACACCCACCACCAAGGTACTATGGTAAGTATCTCTTCTTGAGATGTTTTTATATGGCTGGTACCAGGGTAATGCTGGTCTTATAGAATGAGTTCTGAAATGTTCCCCTGCTCTTCTATTCTTTTGAGGTGCTTGAGTAGGATTGGTGTTAATTCTACTGTCTAGTAATGCTATCTGTATCTATACTTTGTTGAGAGGTTTTTTGATTACTAATTCAATCTCTTACAGGTCTGTTGAGATTTTCTATTCTTTTTTTCAAAGATTTATTTTTATGAATGCATATGAGAACTGGGGTGTAGGCCAGAGGTGCAGGGGGTGGGGTGAGAGGATTCACCAGAGATAGAGTGGAGAGCAGAACAGATCTTACAGATCTACTGAAGTACACTGCTGAGGGGAGCAGCAGGTGAGACAGAAGAGGTCTGCTGTGCCATGTGGATCAGCTCACTGACCAGGGATCGAACTTATATGCAGTGGCTGGCGATAGGTTGATAGGTTGATAGTGTTGACTTTAACCCTTGCGTCAGCACAAAGGCCCTCCTCTATTCTTTTTTTTTTTTTTTTTTAAAGATTTATTTATTTATTTATGCAAGCACTGGGTACAGTCAGAGGCGCGGGAGGGTGAGAGGGTGAGAGGATGCGCCAGAGCCAGAGCGGGGAGCAGAGCAGGCAGAAGGACCGAGGTACACTGCTGAGGGGAGCAGCGGGCGGCAGGAGAGGTCTGCGCGCCATGTGGGACCCTCCTCCGGTGGCCGGGGAGCAGCCGGGGATCGAACCATGGGTGCAGAGGCTGCGGGCAGCTTAGCAACCCAGCGCTCAACCGCTACGCCACCGGGGAGGCCCCCCACCCCCTCTATTCTTGAGTCAGTTTAGGTAATTTATGTGTTTCTAGAAATTTGTCCATTGAGGTTATTTGATTTATTTTTGTTCATACCATATTCCCTTATAATCCTTTTCATATCTGAAGGTCAGTAGCAATGTTCCCACTTTCATTTCTGATTTTAGTTATTTCTGTTTTCTTTGTCAATATAGCTAAAAGCTTGGCAATTGAAATGACCTATTGGAAGACACAATTTTGGGGTTTATTTGGTTTTCTCTTTTTCTATGCTCTATTTTATCACCATTGCAATTTTTAATTTTTTGTTCCTTCTGCTAGCTTTGTTTAATTTGCATTTCTTTTTCTAGTTCTTCAAAGTGTAAAGTTTGGTAATTAATTTAAGATCTTCATTTTTAATGTTATTTACAGCTATTAATTTCCCTCTGAGCACTCACTGCTTTTGTCGTATCTGTTTTAATACATGGAATTCATTTATCTCTTAGTACTTTTTAACTTCTCAGGCTAGGTCTGCTGAAACAAAAACTGTAAGAGTGGGCCCCATCTGTCTGTTTTACCAAGGCCTCTACGTGATTCTGATGCATACAAAAATTTGAGAATTTTTGATTTAGCTTCTTAAAAAGTCATAAAAATTAAGTAAATTTGCAATACAACCAAGAGAAATAAACATGTTAGAAGTATCTAATGTTATGGGAATATAAATACAAAGACTTCCTTTGTACTTTCATATTTTTCTTTTGAATATAAATAATAGTGAAACTTATTCCTCCTCTATTTTTTTCTCAGCATATCTTTTTTTTGTTGTTAAGATAACATTGGCTTACAACATTATATATGATTCAGTAGCATAAGATCACACCTTGTACTTTATATTTTTCTTAAGGTGCTTATGACTCTCTTGAATTACATCCCATGTCATTCTTTAGCTGTGTTTTTGGAGGACAGGTCATGACTACGTTGATTGAATAACTGAATAAAGGGTTTGATTCATTGAATGCTAATCCTGTCTGGCTTCCCTGTCTTCTGATGTGGTCACTTACACAATTGGGGTTACCTTATGCCCCTCCTGGCCTTGTCAGAACTAAGTGTTCCCTCCACATCTGCCCTACATTTCTTGGTTCTTGCCTTTCTTTGACTCTGTAAGTATGACTAGCTAGCTTACATGTACTTCCAAGGTAGAAACCACATTTTTAAAAAAGATTTATTTTATTTATACAAGAGCTGGGGTACAGACCAGAGGTGTGGGAGGGTGAGAGGATTCGCCAGAGACAGAGCAGGGAGCAGAACAGGCAGAAGACCGAAAACACTGCAGAGGGGAGCAGCGGGTGGGGCTGGAGAGGTCTGCCGCACCATGTGGGTGTCTCCCCTGCCGGCCGGGAGTCGAACCTGCGCTGCAGAAGCTGTGGACATCTTCACAGCACAGCGTTCAACTCGCTGTGCCACTGGGGAGGCCCGGTAGAAACCACATTTATAAAAATTTTTTTTTTAACATTTCCTCAACTCTTACTCTACTAACGTGAAAGTCATTTCATTTATTTCACTCCCCATGGACAGACCACAAGGTTGAGGCTGTTATTACATCCATGGTATAGATGAAGAAACTGAGGCTCATAGAGATTCGACACACCTGCTAAGTGCTGGAGGTGTCAAACCCGAATCTTTTCTAGAGCTCTTACCAGGCCTGAACTGTTGCCTCTGTCTTCACAGCCTGTGTCTTCACAGATTTGTTACTGGACAAGTGTTAATCAAGTTGAACAGAAGATTGCAAGTTTGGGGGCCAGGAGAGGATAGACCACTGCAGGTAATTTATGTGTTTCTAGAAACACATAATACCCCTGGCGCTTAGGGGTAGTGTGTCTTTGTGACAGCAGCCTGCCAACAGAGTGAGATGCTTGGAGAAACGGTGCACACTGCACAAGCCCTTTTGGCCTTAGATTTGCTGACCTGAATGAAGGGGCATTAAATTGAGTTTTGTAGATGGAATCAGCAGGGTGGTGCTGGGAGAGGGGCCCACATTCAGTCACACAGCTCAGTTGACAACCAAGTGAGTGAAAGGAAAATAATGGTATCTTGGGTGGTGTCATCTCACCATGCGAAGAAAATGCAAGAAAATTCAGCCAAGAAATTAGTAAGACACCATTCTTGGAATGTTGGATTATTAGACCATGCATTCATTTCCATTGTTTATAACCACTTTTGTAACAAGGCTTGGCCTTCAACTCAATGTTTCTTCTACATCAGTTTGCTCATAAGTTGATTGCTGTTGGCATTGAAAACAATCCACTAATGTCTGCTATCATTTTCCTTGTTGATGTTAATAAGGTTACTCCCAGATTGGACACCTGAGAAGTTCTGGTTTGGGAGTCCTTCCACAGCTCTGCTCCTTTCTCCAACCTGACGATCACCTCAGGCTTGGTCACGCAACACCCCAGTGACACCAGGCTCCTGTAGGTCTCCAGTATCATGTCCCTGTAGCGGGTCCTCTGACCATCATCCAGGTCCTGCCACTCCTCCCAGGTGAAGCTCACAGCCATGTCCTCAAACCATCCTCTCTGAGACACTGACCACATGTGGAGGCCGAGGAAAGGCAGTGCCTGCATTATTTTAATCACTGCCCATTTCACAAACCAGGTCAGGCTGGAGAGGCCTTGCATTCTCAGTTCCAGGCTGGGTGGCTGACTCTGCCTTTGCCCAGACTGGGCACATACCATGCTGCTCCCCTACCCCTCCCCACCCAGAATATGTGGACTAGCAAAGCATACAGTGTAGGACCTAACTGCACAGCCTGAAGTCCCCACAGGATGCCAACTTAGCATTGTGACCTGAATGTCAAATGGACCCAGGAACCTAGTGGGCTGCTGGGATGGAGCAGAGCAGACCAGCTATTTTGGGGAGCCCTTGTAAAGGAAGAGCCTGTCGGCTTTTGGTCTCTCTCCTTTGGAGCTGCTGCAGATGGCAGCTGCCCTCCTTGGCCCCCAATATGAGCAGCAGTAGGGTTCTGGGGCACCCTATCAATCCTTGGACAGCAGGACTTGGTGAGACTTACCCCCAGACCCAGGCTCAGGCCCCAGATCCAGACCTGCTGCAAGCAGCTTCACCTCACCGTTGTTTAGTAACTCCTCCCTCTCCCCTAGAGTTCTCCTTTCATACTGTTAAAATAATTCCTTTTTATGTTTTGCTGCACCACAGCTCTTTTGTTTATAGTTGTGGCAGCAAGTGCATGGACCCAAGAACCAATGAGAGGGGTTCTGATCTGTTCAGAGTCTTTGTACCCTTTGCCCGGTAACAGTCACACAACTAGTGAATAACTGAACCAGGATCAGTTCGCTGTATTGCCTTTTCTGCTTGGAAGTGGTATTTTGGGATTGGGGTAAATATCTCTACCCTCTTGAGATTCCATTATTTCTGAGTGATGATATTTTGGATCCTTTTTTTTCTTTTATTTTCTATAATTTCTAAATTTTTCCTACTACAGACTATTACGTCTCTGAAGGGAAAACAAACTTTTCTTATTGGCCCTTTTGTGGATGAATTCAACAGAAGCTAAAGGAGGAGGCAGTCCTGGTGGAGCCTACCTCTCAATGCTGATGGATTTTGAAACAGTGGGGAGTGGACTGAGTTTGTAGAGTAGAAATTGGGTTGAAGAAAGAAACTTGGAAAACAACTGGTGGAAGAGGCACTGTTGAGAGGAGAAATAGGAGCAATCCCAGGAAAAACTCCTTGTCTGTTACTGGCTGCCTATTCGGGCACATGGTGCTGTGCAATATTGGCTGATATCAACAACCAACTTTCTAGTGTCAGGGAACATCTTGAAAATATAAGATCTGTAGTACATGTTAGTCTTAGAATTCTGGGATTTGTATTTTTTTTTTTTCCTGTAGGCAGAATTAATGCTCCTTGCTGGAGAGCCAAGAATAAATCTCTCTGCCCTTTATGTTACAAATGCGTAAATTACTACCTTGGTTTTTCTTATTGGTGTTGGCCTGTCCCCTCTGGAGACCTATAGGACTATGGACTCATTTTTGTATTTCCCAGCTTTCAGCTATGTGATAATTGACCCTGAGCAAATTACTTAACCTCTCTAAGCACCAATACCTTCATTCGCAAGATGGGAATTAATGTGCCTTTCATAAGTTGTTAGGAAAGGATAAAAAGTGCGAAGGGGGCAGTGAACATTGCATGCACATTGCGCCAGCGGATGATACTGTCAGTGGAGGGGTGGGGGGGGGGGAAGGCACCTAAGAGTTTTAACAGCTCCCCAAGGGTCAGTATTTTTTAATGCTTGTGTTCTGTTCCTCCCCTGAAATGGAGAAGACGAACTGTTCTCTGTCTGGCGAGCTTGTGAGTCAGTTAAAAACCTCAGTTCAACGATCGCTCCCAACCAGCCGGGGGCCAAGTTATTTTTGGCCCCGCCCCGACTACAAGTCCCAGCATGCCGCGCGGCGGGCGTCGGCGGCCCCGCTTCTTCCGGGTTGGCCCGCACGTGGGCGCCGCTCTGGGCGCCGCGCCGGCTCTGTGCTCCTGCGGGGGTCGCGGCATGGAGGCCGGGTGCTGGCTGCTCGGCGGCGACTTCGAAGACTCGGTGTTCGAGGGGAGGCCAGAGCGGCCGGCGGGCCCGCCCCCGTCGCACCGCGCCAAGCGCTGCGAGCCGCAGGTGAGCGCCGGGCGGCGGCCTGGCCCGGCCCCGCGTCGGCTCCCTGCCGAGCCCCTGCCGAGCCCCTTTCCTCGCGGCGCGGCCACCCGCCCCGCGGGCCCCTGCGCCGCCCGCGCCCCCCGGCCTCCGGGGAGCCCGGCTCGCGCTGCCCGGGGCGAGGGCCCCGCGCCGTCGGAGGGGAGCCCTGCGGGCGGCGCTCTCCCTGCTGCTCGGAGGGCGCCCCTCCCGCCGTGCTCTGAGGCCCCCTGTGCCTCGCTCGCGCGCGGCCTTCCGGCGCCACCCGCTTGTCAGAGCTCAGTGTCCGCGGCCCCGCACCCCCTGCAGCCCCTGGCCTGGCCTGCCCTGCACCCCCTGGCCTGCCTTGTACCCCCTGGCTGCCCTGCACCCCCTGACCTGCCCTGCACTGCACCCCCTGGCCTGCCCTGCACCCCTTGGCCTGCGCTGCACCCCCTGGCCAGCCCTGTACCCCCTGGCCTGCACCCCCTGGCCTGCCCTGCACCCCCTGGCTGCCCTGCACCCCCTGGCCTGCCCTGCACCCCCTGGCCTGCCCTGTACCCCCTGGCCTGCCCTGCACCCCCTGGCCTGCCCTGTACCCCCTGGCCTGCCCTGTACCCCCTGGCCTGCCCTGCACCCCCTGGCCTGCCCTGCACCCCCTGGCTGCCCCGCACCCCCTGGCTGCCCCGCACCCCCTGGCTGCCCTGCACCCCCTGGCCTGCCCTGTACCCCCTGGCCTGCCCTGACTTAGTGATGTCCCTTACCTACCTTGACACTCGCTGATGGTCAAAATTGTTCAATTACATCTATTTCTCGAGGCACATCTTAAATGCTGCCTCCTCGAGGAAGGCTTTTCTAATTACTCCCACGCCAGTATTTTAATCTTTGACTCGTTTCCCTTCTTAAATCACTTGTCAGTATCCCATGAAGCTCTTGGAACCAGAGCGGTATGTGACACAGGAGTGGTTCTTTTTTTTTTTTTTTAAAGATTTTATTTATTTATACAAGCACTGGGGTACAGGCTAGAGGCACGGGAGTGTGAGAGAATTCACCAGAGACAGAGCAGAGGGCAGAACAGGCAGAAGGACCGAAGTACTCTGCTGAGGGAGCAGCGGGCGAGACAGGAGAGGTCTGCCACCCCATGTAGGTATCTTCCTGGCTGGCCTGGAATCGAACCGGTGCTGCAGAGGCTGTGGACAGCTCCACAGCGCAGTGCTCAGTCCGGGAGGGCGGATGCTTAATGTTATGCCCTGGGTCCCACCTAGTTATACCTAATAGCAAATCTGTGAATATTTTGAATTAGTTGAATATTACTTTGCATTATTACCTGAGTGTTCTTCTTATCACACCAATAAAAACTACTAGAACTTACTTGTACATGTTTTGTTCCTTTACATGTTTTGTCTCATTTAGTCCTTAAAACCATTGTAGGGCCTCCCCGGTGGCGCAGCGGTTGAGCGCTGGGTTGCGAAGCTGCCTGCGGCCTCTGCGGCGCCGGTTCGATCCCCGGCTGCTCCCCGGCCACCTGAGGAGGGTCCCACATGGCGTGCAGACCTCTCCTGCCGCCCGCTGCTCCCCTCAGCAGTGTACTTCGGTCCTTCTGTCTGCTCTGCTCCCCGCTCTGGCTCTGGTGAATTCTCTCACCCTCCCGCGCTTCTGACTGTACCCAGTGCATGTATAAACAAAACAAACAAGCAAACCAGCAAACAAATAAATAAAGCATGCCTCTATCAAAAAAAAAAAAAAAAAAAAAACCATTGTACTTACAGATGTCAGAAGCTGAATAATCACTGAATTGTATTTTTGTTTTATTTCACTGGCATTTTCTCTTTACTGCAGGCAGTCTTTCAAAGTTATGATTAGAACTTGATCATGTAGATTAAAACTAGGCATGGGCTTGGGAAGTCATGTGGTTCAGCATAAAGCCCTAGTTATGAAATAGGACCCGTGCATTCCAGCCTTGGCTTTTACTACTTCCCTTTCAAGGTGGCAATTCCTTATTATTTGGGGGAAAAAACCTTATCAATTGGCTCACCAACTTATTGTGAAGGTGAAATGAGATAATAGTTGGTCGGTGTGGTATGTGCTATATACTTATAAAATAAAACCCCCAAATCACATGTCTTTAGAATTTGTTTCGTCTATGAAACTGCTTATAAACTCAGAGAGGCCTTATTCAAGTCAGGTTTGGTAGATATAAAACCAGGATTTGGGATTAGAAGATTTCTGTTGTCCCCTCCTGCTTAGATGCTGTGTGGAGCCAGCTCTTTGCCTTATCCACATGCTTAGCCTCTCAGGCCCACAGCTCCTTTCCCCTTTCTCTTAACAGAGAGGAGTATTTGAAGCCACTCATTCCCTGTCCTGCCGTTTCTGTGGGAAAATAAAATCAGTCATTTGAAAACTAATTTTGCTTGATTGTTTCCCAGTAGGATTTAATGAAAATTTGATGGATGTTTGCAGGCCTGCTGTTGGGATTGACTGATCATGGGACACAGTATGTGACTAGAGAGCAGTGGAGCATAGAGAAAACTAGGGGTTCAGTGTGTAGTCTTTGCTGAGTTAGACAGTTCTTAAGGGAGAACAGAGCCAGTGGCCCCTGGCTTCCTCCACTGTGATGGAGAGACGTTACAGTAGATGGCAGGCATCTTTTAGAAATAGAAGCAAACAATTTTGACAAGATAGTGCAACCATCACAAACGTAGTTACAGTTGAGGTCACAGCACTTAACTGGGGATAAACTTCTTTCAGCCTCAGTGTGCTTTACTATGAGTGAAAGGGAGGGTGAGATACTTCTTTGGAGCTGGAAAAACTGACATATGGTGTACTTTTTGTCCACCTGTTTTCTCATCTTAACATTCCTTTACTCAATAATTAAGAAATCTCCATCTCATTTTGCTTCCTATCCATGGAGTTTATTTTTTTAAAAGACTTATTTTTATTTATACAAGAACTGGGGTACAGGCCAGAGGCACTGGAGGGTGAGAGAATTCACCAGAGACAGAGCGGGGAGCAAAACAGGCAGACGGACCAAAAACATTGCAGGCGAGACAGGAGAGGTCTGCCATGCCATGTGGGTATCTCCCCGGCCGGCTGGGAATTGAACCCATGCTGCAGAGGCTGCAGACAGCTTCACAGCACTATGCTCAACCCGCTGCACCACCAGGGAGGCCCTATCCATGGAGTTTAAATCAGGAGAAAAGGGAGTAAAATATTCCACATGAGCATTTCCTCAAATTTTTCTCCAGCAGGTCTTTTGGCATTATATAGCATGGAATTACCTTTCAGCCTTCATTTCTCTTTCCTCTATGCTTAGTTTTATTTTCTGCCTTAACAACATTTTCATAATAGCTCTGTAACGATGATACCTCTCTTTTAAGTCCTTTCCATAGAGTGTTGTCAATCCCTATTCCATCCACTCTAAAATTTCTGTGTAAGGAAACACATCTCATCCTAAAGGACCAGTGGGAACTGTGCTCGGTTCCCAGTCACCACTGCCCCATGTTGAACATGATGTAGCTAAAACCATATGTGCTTCTTTTTTTAGTTGAGAAGTGTCATATTTTTGTGATAATTTTAATAAAAACTGGACCGTCACTAAAATTGTCATTCTTTGTCAGATGTTTTCCCGAGTCTCATCTTGAAGGTATCTTATTTTTTTGAGGTTTAATCAATTACATATGGGAAATTGCTTTCGAATATGAGGCGGAAAAGTATAGCTTCTTTCTCTATAATCTCCTATTTTTACAATTTCTAGTGGTTTGATGAAGACACAGAGAGCAGTGATGATGTTGAAGCTCTCACTATCAAGAAATTCAGAGGGGACCTGGCCTATAGACGACACGAGTATCAGGTAGAATTCAACAGATATGAGATTGGGGTACTGAAATGGCCCAATATTTTTTATATATATATATATATATGCTTAACATATAAAAATGTGTTTTATATATTTCTATACACTTCATATATACATATCACACATATACTATGTATACACCATATATATATATTTATATATACTATATATTTAAATACCAGTGTACTAAGTTAGGAGTGTGCTGTTTGTGAAGATGAATTTACTCTTTTGTGGTATGTTAGAGTCCTAGGTTTCTGTCCTTTTCTCTTTGTTTCCATCTAATTTGCTTTGTTTCTTGTAACTCCATCACTGGGATCTGTGGGTCTGTTTCTCCAACTTCTGTATCCTCATTATGAGGGAGCCTCTAGCACAGGTACCTCATAGTGCCACAGGAGCCAAGCACCCCAAAATGTGTGAGAAAAAGGAGAGCCCTAACAGATACAAGTTGCTTTTCACATAGGTCTCATTTCATTTTCACAACAGATCTGTTGTTCTGCCCCCGAGAAGGTTACACAGTAAGTTAGTGGCAAAATCAGGATTCAAACCTGGGTCTTTTGAATTCAGTACACTCTCCCTGCTATGCTGTGATGTCTTCTGTGGGTGTAGCAGTAATATTCTCCAGCCACTTTTCTGCCCTCTAGAAAAATAGTACTGACTGAAATATGCAAGTCACACTTAGTTTGTTGCAGGGTGATTTATAACATCACTTTCGTCTGGGGAAAAAAATCAAGCCTATAACAACCCCTTTCTCTATTTTCTGCCATTCTTACATTCCTTCTTTTCATTTCCTTTATTATCATGGCCAGAAAGCACTGCAGGAATATTCCAGTATCTCTGAAAAATTGCCATCTAACAATTGTGCCATGAAAAGGGATGTCCAGGAAGGCCAGGCCCGGTGTCTGGTTCACCTGGGAAGGCCTGCAGAGGCACTGGAGATCGCTACAAACCTGGTAAGTGTATTCATTGCTTTATTTTTTCATGCTTTCCTATAGCAAGGATGGTTGAATTGTTTATTTTCTAAAAAAACAGAAAAAGTTTTGCCAGCAGCAAATTCTTCAGGTTTGGGGAAGGAGAAATTTGTCAGCAGTGTAAGAACTTTATTATGATGGGTAATTTGGAGTTCTGAGACATAATCACTTTCTTTAACTTTTTCTTTTCTTTTCTTTTTTTTTTTTTTTTTTTTTGCTTAAAAATTTTCACTGCCTGAAAATCTCATTTGCAAAAGCTTATTCTTGTTAGGAATAGATACTCAGAGTGGAAGACTTATCAGCAATCTGTTTTCTGCTTTAGAATTCTTTCCAGGGCCTCCCCGGTGGCGCAGCGGTTGAGCGCTGGGTTGCGAAGCTGCCCGCAGCCTCTGCAGCGCCGGTTCGATCCCCGGCTGCTCCCCGGCCACCAGAGGAGGGTCCCACATGGCGCGCAGACCTCTCCTGCCGCCCGCTGCTCCCCTCAGCAGTGTACTTCAGTCCTTCTGCCTGTTCTGCTCCCCGCTCTGGCTCTGGTGAATTCTCTCACCCTCCCGCGCTTCTGACTGTACCCAGTGCTTGTATGCATGTATGTATAAATCAATCAATCAATAAAAATAAATAAATTAAAAAAAAATAGTTTTAAAAAAAAAAAAAAAAAAGAATTCTTTCCAGATTTTAGTTTCTACAGTGAACATGTTATTTTTGAAAAACAGACAAAAGTTGCCCTCAAACTACTGATACCTTACTAAGCCACACGTAATAGTCATTTTCATTTTTATTTACTTTGAAATCTGGAGCACTTCATGATTTGCAGGTGGTCCTTGTGCAAGGGCCACGCTAATCTCTGTATCGTTCCAATTTTGGTGTGTGTGCAGCTGGAGCAGGCTCTCATTTTCATTTTTTAATGGAATTTGCAGAATCTTTTTTAAGGCACAAAGAAAGGCAGTTCCTTTGCAATTCTAGATTCTGCTTGTTTTTGTTTCCAGAATAAGGCTTTTTTTGTTTACTTCTATGACTTTTTGGCTTAACTTTTATGTGGAGATTGGTTGTAGTTGAGCAATCCTAGTCTATAGATGACCAGTTTTCTCTCTCTGAGGAATTAATGAGGGTTGAGGTGCTGATCTTGAGCCCAGTAGATCTAGTCCCAACTCAGCTCAACTTAGATTATGCATGCAGCTGAGCTGTCCTCTTCCATCTCCTTTACTAAGAGAAACCCCTACATTTGCTTGCCGGGGGGGTTCACTGCATAGTACTCCAGCCTCTTGCAGTGAGAGGAGACTTTGGCAGTGATTTCTTGAGAGCATGACAACAGCTGTATTTGTTTTCTCTTTCTCCTCAATCCAAAACATAAGGTTCCCTTATTAAAGGAGCATTGGCATGAGCAGGTGACCTGGGGGGATATAACGGTTCATCCTGTCTCCCTGGTCTGCAAACTATTGCAGCTCTGGCCCTTTGAGTACCTTTTTCCAGACCTCAGTTGCCATCTTGGCTTCTGTTCTCTGCCATGGCCTCTCTCCCCCTCACATTTCTCCCACCCTCCCGTGCTCTTTGTCCTCCCTGCTGAGACCTCAGCAGGCAGGGCAGCCCTCCTACATGGTAGGGCCGAGTTAGCTCTGGTTTCTTTGGGCTGTTTCTGTCTGTTGCCCATTCCCAGATGTCAGGTCTCCAGAGCTTGGGTGGCTACAAGGGAGGAGGAAGCCAGTCAGAAGACCACTGTCAAGACTTTGAGAACTCTTTAGTGGCCTCCGGCTCCCTCTGGGGAAGGAATGGGCATCGGAGGCTTGTGGGGCTCACCCCTCTCTTAGGGTCTCTTCACGTGGTCTCATGGGCCCTGCCTCTTTGCGTGTTTTTCCCATTTCCTGGGACTCTGTGTTTTGTTTTTGTTTTATAAATTTCTTCCCTGCTTGTGGACCCTCTTCTCGCACTGCTAGCTCTGGCCCCTTTCTGATTTTTGTCTCAGAGGTTATTGCCGCTCAGGTTTTATAGGCGGGCAAGTCTGTGACTCACACTGAATGTATTAGGCAGCTGGTCCTGGAGTATGAACAGTTTATGCTCACAGCTTCTACTGAAGTTGACTCACCTCTCAATGATTTTTGGGTGAAATTTATAAGAGAACTATTTCTTATATAATTTAAACATTGTCTTATTAGAGTGGCGGCTATGTTTATGTGATAAACTAACTGTGGAAGGAAAACTTCTTTCTGACCATAAGTGACTTTTGGTCTTTCATGCACATCACAAACATTTCTTTTCTTTATTTTTTTAAAAAAAGATTTATTTATGCATACAAGAACCGGGATACAGGCCAGGTACGCGGGAGGGTGAGAGGATTCACCAGAGACAAAGCGGGGAACAGAACAGGCAGACTGAGGAAGTACACTGCTGAGGGGAGCAGCGGGCGGCAGGAGAGGTCTGCTGCACCATATGGGTATCTCCCTGGCCAGCCAGGGATCGAACTTGTGCTGCAATGGCTGTGGATAGCTTCACAGTGCTGTACTTAACCCCTTGTGCCACCAGGGAGGCCCACAAACATTTGTTTTAGTCCTGCCATGTCCGTGTGCCTAGTTTGGGGCTCAAAGCCGAGGAGACAGATGAATGCCCTCCATGCTCTGTACACACCTAGTGTCTAGCACGTGGGTTGGGGGGGGGGTTGGATCCCTCTCAGGTGTCAGCTCTCCGCAGTGCTGGTGCTGGGACCTCCAGCTCTGTTCCCCACCAGCTGTGTGACTTAGGCCCCTTGCCTAACCTCCCTGATCCAGTTCCTTCACTTACAAAGCGGGATACCAATGCAGTCTATTGTAAAGGATTTCCATGTGGATGAAATGAGTAAAGCACTTAGGATAGCACCTGACTGTGCTCAGCACTCAAAGAATGTTAAGTAGCATCATCACCACATTAGAGAAGGAGTTGCGATAGTCTAGGAAAAAAATCACTCGATTCACTTAAGTGGAATTTAATTTCCAGAGCTATTCAGTGGACGTGCTATCAAAACCCTCACATCAAAACCATGACTTGATGTCACAACCTCCACCCCAGCACATACTTGCTTCGTAACATGAAAGTGCTTTAAACACTAGAAAGCACTACTGACTGGGGAGAGAAGAGAGGTAGACTTGTCAGATGTCTGTACTTGTTGCTTTATTATAAATAAAAACAAGAAACTGTATTACTCCAGTTATTAAACATCGGTTATGTCTGAGGTTGTACTGGGAACTCCACATTCAACAAAAATCTTTCTGGAGCTTGTAGTGCAGGCAGCAGCAGGGCAGGGTGGACAAAGGAGAGCCCAGAGCCCTCAGTGTCTTTTTCAGGCTTTTAATGATCTTTCTGCACCATTTGTAGTGAGGCAACCAGGTGCAGGGCAGGCAGGGAGGCCTCCTGGTCTCTGGTGAATCTTTATTCTTTGGGCTTTCTCTGACATTCTCTCGTGGTCTCTCCACCGCTGTCCACACTCTCTGCTGCATTCCATCCTCTGTGATGCACTCCATCCTCATATGCCTGCCCTCCTACGCACAAGTGTGCCCATCACACATGCCCACACCATACTCCAGGTGTCCACCCTCAGGCATGTGCACCCGAGCCTCGCTCCCTAGCGCCTCCTGCATTCAAGGTCGTGGTGGGTGCCACAGAGGCCAACAGTGCAAACTGAGCAATCTTCATTTACCCTACAGAGCTTAACGGTGTGTGGGAGGCAAGAACATTAAACAATAGAATAATAAACCAGATAAGCGCTGTCACTGGGAAGGTCCACTGTGGCCAGATAAGTCCTTTCACTCGCTATATGAATATTTAGAATCCTCCACAAGCTTCCACTTCTCTCTGCCAGCTGCTTCAGGCAGCAGACAGGTAGTTTTACTTGTTTCTTCCTTGGTATACTTCATATGGGAGCTTGATCTGGATACTAGAAGGCCAGTTCTTCCTGAGATTTGAAATCAACCAAGAGATGATTTTAATTTGTCATCTGCTCTCCACAGACTTTAACTTAGAAAAAAGAAGCCTGTTTTCCCTCCCCCCACCGGGCTCTTGCCATATGGCAAGTTAGGCAAGAGGTAGTGGAAAAGATTTTTTTGATCAGAAAGAAACCAAGCAACTCCTTCTGGCCAAAAACAATTGGCCTTGGTAATCGTTACCAGGGAAGACATTTGGATTCAATTATGATGGATCGTGAAACAGAGCTGCAGGGCTATCCAGGCCAAGCCAAGTCAATTTTGGAAGTAGAGAACACTCGAATTCTCAAGAAAATTTCATTTTGGATTTTTAGAAAAGCCTGGAACATTAAGATGGAACCATTAGCCCAGGGTATAAAAAAGTTGACTCGAATCTTTCAGCTGAAGACAATAAAGATTATGTTAAGATTTGAAAATAAATTGACATTCATGTTTTTGGTGAACTTTTCCAGACCGTTGTCATGTGAGTTTTGTTTCCGTTGTGACATGAGGAGGGCCGGGAATGACTGGTGATTCTTTTGCTGGGTGATTATTTTTCAAGGTTTATGGTTTCAAACTAAGAGCTATTGAAAAATACCAAGTCCATGCTACTGAGAAGTGGCCGAAAGACCCTTCTGATTTATAACCTGCACAAACTGGATTTCCAGACACCATCATTTTTACCAGGAAAATGTTCTGCCATTCAAAGTTCTTAACCCTGTTTTCCTCCTCAGGAAAGCAAAGCAACCAATACCGACCATCTGACCGCTGTGCTGTACCTCCAGATTGCAATTTGTTCAAGTTTGCAAAACTTGGAGACAACAATTTTCTGCCTACAGAAACTAATTTCTTTGCATCCTTTCAATCCTTGGAACTGGGGCCAGTTGGCAGAGGCGTACCTGAAGCTGGGGCTGGCTCTCTCGGCTTCCTTTGCATCATCTCGGGATAGTTTTGCCTTCAGTGACAAAACGAGCAAGTCTTCCTTTCCACACTCAGGAAAAGACTGTCTGTCATGTTTCCCTGAGATGTTGCCTGCAAGCTCTGTGTTTTCTGTGGAGGCAAGCAGCACTAACAACCACAAGAATGAAGAAGCTCTTACAAGCACTCAAAATGGCAGGGCAGAAAAGAGAGAAGTGTTGCTGCTGGAGACGCAGGTGAATGCGTGTGCCTCGTTTATCCGGACCAGGTAAACTCAGAGCAGAGTCTCCCTGATCTGATTGTGGAGATTTTAAACCACAGAAAGTTCTAGGCAAGACACTTGGCATATGTTTTTCAGATTTTTTTCCGTGGTCTCCATGGAATCCGTTGTGTCCTTTGGTATGTGAGATTTGGAAACAAACCTTTATTTGCTCAGAATACACTGGTATCATTGACCTAGATACAGTGTTAAAATTGGAAAACATTAAAATTAGCAAAAGAAAATTAAATGTATAAAATTGACAGAGGGAGGAAGAGGTATTTTAAGCATGGAGTTTTTTACTTCTGTGTTCCACAGAAAATCCACTAAAGAAGAACATCTTTTGCGTTTGAATCACTAATAAGGTGAATAAAAAATTAATGCTTAATTCACTTTACAAGAATTCCCAAAGTTTAGGGATTCCAAATACTTTGAACCCATAAAGTATGAGTCTAAGGGAAAAGTGAGAATATTAATTTTTGTAATTTATGTCAAAAATAGTCTCTTAGGACTCCAGTGATACCAAAGAAAATATTTTGTTTTTAACTTTGGAGGATTGAAGGAAGATTGATTAACAGTAAAGCTTGCTTAGAAGTGGCATCTGTTTGGCAGATTTTAAACTATATTGGCTGATGTTTATTTAGCATTGACTTTGTCACTTTAATTCCTAAGTATGTCGAATAACTGTGCCAGGCGCATACCGCTTGCAAAGATTATAAAGATCAGTTTTAAAAAAGAGTCCCTTTCCTGACACTACTCAGGGGTTGAGGAGAATCTCTGTGTGGCCAGGAGCTGGCACTGAGCAGCAGCTTCAGTGTGGGGGCTGCCTGCTGTGGCAGGAGGGAGGAAGCCAGCGGGAGTGCCGCGGCCGCTGCTGGTCCTGGAGGAGCACCATCGGTTCTCCTAGATAAACGTGCGCTAGAAGCTTTGTCTGCCTTTCGTTTTAACCCTCCTTGCTCTCTGGGGTGGGTCCTGGGACCCCACTGTGTAGACTGGGGAGCCGTTTAGCATCGTCCCCAGAGTGGTATGACCATAAAGTGCTCTGGGTGGGGCCCAGGTCTCTGATTCCAGAACAGGTGTCTTTCCGATCTCACTGAGTCCATGTGATTTTCCCCAGTGGGTCCCATCCTGCCGCGGGGAGAGCACAGCCCAAGGGACACGGGGCCTGGTGCAGCGCGAGCAGCACTGGGGGGTTGGGGCACAGGGAACAGCTGTAGCCCATGAGGCCAGGGTGGCGTGGGAAGCAGGAGGCAGGACTTGGAGTCAGAGCTCATTTTAAGGAACCTGATAAATTGCTGTCGTGGAGCAAATGAGCCTGGACTCATCTGCCTGCTAGCTGTGTCCTTCCACGAATACTGCAACTCTGTGATCTTCAAATGGAGAAGTAGGGAAAATGCCTGCTCGTGCGTGGGGTGGTGAGGATTAGAGTGTGTGCGGCACTTCTAGTGCGCAGTTACTTGGCAAATGTTAGCTTTTAGTGTTCCTGTGGTTTTAGTTTTTATTAGCACAAGAAGTTAAATGTCACCTTAAAGAGTTTGATTCTTATGCTGAAGGCCTGAGGAGTATTTGAAGGTTTTAGATCTTGAAGTGGTGTGATAAGAACTGGGATTTCTAGAGAGATCCGGTGGCTGGGCGGATGTGTTAGAAGGAGGTTGGCGCTGGGGATATCATGATGAGGTGGTGGGCTAACGGGTGGATGGTGATGGGTCCTGAGCATGGATAGGACAGTATAGTGGAAAGAAGACACGGGTGTCACTGCAGGAGGGACTGGACGCGAGTGTGTGGGGAGGGAGGATGCGGGCGTCCCGGAAAACCTCTAGAGCCTGCCTTGGGAGCATGGCGGTGTCTTCAGATGTGAGGGGAGGGCAAAGCAGACTTGGGGTGGAAGTAATGATCTGGGTTCCTTGTGCTGAGATCAGCTGCCTGTCAGACATCCCGCTGGAGCTTCCCATGGGTAGGAGTTGGGCTCAGAGTAAGGGAGAGAGAGATTGACGCGTTTCCGGAGAGATTCAGCAGTGAGATGGTAACGGGGAGTCAGCTGGGATCAATTCTTTGAGGAGTACTTGGAAGCTATGTGGAGGGTAAATGAAGATGATCAGACTTTTACACCACTGGCTTCTGCAGCTATCACCTGTGGCCTTGATCTTGTTAATGTCGAAGGCTCGTGGGTGTGGGGCACGCATGCCTGATTGTGGACAGCTGAGATGGGTGTGTGTGTGCATGTGCAAGTGTGCACACCTGTGCCTAGGAGGGAGGGACTAAAAGGGAGGTGTCTCAATTTGCTATCTCCCTGCTGGCTGGTTTTCCCTGCTTACCATTAAAAACCTGTGACAATAATGCCAAGGGCTCCAAAATTCTCCTTCAAATTGCTAGAACTGATGGTGAAACTACCTGGCCTGGGGTGGTTGCAAAGCACCACAGAATTATTGACCTTCAAGAGGTCAACCTAGTAGTGATGGGATGACGAGGCAGATTGCACAGGGTGGAGGAGCGAGTAGACACTGAAGAGGAGCAAGTATAAGTGGTATTTTTAAGATTTATTTATGCATTCAAGAACTGGGGTACAGGCCAGAGGTACTGGGGTGACTCACCGGAGACAGAATGGGGAGCAGAACAGGGAGATTTACTGAAATATGCTGCTGAGGGGAGCAGCGGGTGAGTCAGGAGAGGTCTGCTGCACTCTGTGGGTAGCTCCCTGGCTGGGGATCGAACTTGTGCTGCAGTGGCTGCGGATGGCTTCATAGTGCTGACACCCCTTGTGCCACCAGGGAGGCCCCATAAGTGGTATTTTCAAGTCATTTCAGGAGCAAGAGGGAGAATGCAAGTACCTTAAAAGGGTCAGAGGATGTAACTGCTTCCGGAGGCCCTGCAGGTAACGTGAACAGGTGAGGGAGCTGGTCCATGACCTCCTTCGTGCGAATCAGGTCATATAAGGAGGTTCACCAGTGGCTTGGCACATAAGTTCCACATTTCTTTCCCTGGCCCTCAGGTCTGATGTGAGTCGGCCCCGCCTTTGCCTCATTTACCACAGGGTTTTCTCCCCGGCTGTGTTCTGGCCACCGGATCATCCTGATTTTCGACCACATCAAGCTAGTTCTGGGTTGAGCCTCCTTCCTCCTGCCAAGCCTCTTCTCCCTTATATTCTGTGGCTGGCTCCTTCCCAGTTAGGTCTTAGCGCCAGAGGAATCTCAGAAAAGCCTTCCTTTACTGTCCGGCTGGTCTTGTCCGTGTGTTATCTCACTTGGGATCTCCCATTCCATGAAGCCGGTTCCACTCGCCAGTATCTGCCCGCTCTAAGGGTGGTGAATGAGAGGAAGGAGGGCTGAGTGCTCCGGGCACAGCAGCAGGGGCCCGGGGGCCTTAGGGACGCTGGGAAGATGTACACGCTCAGTATTTTAAAAAACCACAAGGATGTGGAAGAAAAAGAAACATAATGGACAAACAAAACAAACTCTTAGATTCAGAACAGATTTGTGTTTCCCAGCAGGGAATGGGGCTGGTGGGTGGGTGCAGTGAACAAAGGGGTTATTGTGTGGTGGTGGATGGAAACTGCCCTTCCGGAGGTGGTCTCCACCCGGTGTCTGCAGATGTCGAGTTCCAACACTGCACACCGGAAGCGTACGGGGTGCTGTGACCCAGTCTTCCGTGTATGTACATTTAATGAAGGTGGGACGCATGTGGGGAGGACAGGGGTGGGAAGAAAAGAGGAGGAGACGATCATGAGGGGAGGTTAGTGGTGAGGCATTTGTGGCCATGGGGGTCCTGCAAGGTGTGGCCCTGCTCTGGGTAACGGGTGTGTGCTAGGGAACCCGACCAGTCCCTCAGGCCGAGTTGCTCTGAGTCCGAGAGAAGCATGGGTCACCTACTTGGAAGGAGCACATCGCAGCACTCCTGGGGAGGAGTCTGTGACTGGGAGCTTGCTCTTCTGCCTCTTGCTTTCCATCACTTGACTTTTACAGGAGGCTCTTGTGAGGCAGGAAGCCCTTTGGAGTTTTTGCTCTCTAAAGATTTCTTCGAGAAACTCCAGTCTGTTCATTTTAGAAGCGATGCCTCTCCAGTATAAAGTGGGGCAATTTGGGATTCACAGGAGGGGGCACATTTGGGTAGGCAGGTGGGATGGCATCAGCTGAACACCCTTGAGGAGTCTCCTCGCCACTGACCTTTATGCGGGGTCTGCACAGGGCACCTCTGTTTTTCAGGCTTTTGCTTCAGCTCATCCAGTCTCAGCAAACATCCTTTGCTCTGGAGAGGAACTTGAGGACTCAGCGGGAAATTGAAGATAAAATGAAAGAGTTCAGCTTCAAAGAAGATGCTTTGCAGTTGATAGCTGAGGTGAGTGAGTCCCCTCAGGTTTATGCGAAATGAAGCATTGTAGATGTTTTTCCTGGCTCCAGTGCCATTTTTTAAAAGACGGGGCCAAATCTCATGATCTGAAGGACTGTCTCCCTCCTTTATGTGCCTTTGATCACTTAATCCCCCCAAGCAGCCTTTGTCACCCGCCTCTCACAGGGGCTGGAAGCCAGGAGCTGACTTGGCTTCACTTGTCGGAGCTCGTCAGGACGGGCTAGAACAGCAGCAATGCCCCAGAGTTGCTTTCTGGCTTCTGGCTGGAAGGCAGACACGTCTCTTTCATCTTATCCCTCTTTTTGTCCCCGTAACCGCCTAGAGCACAGGCAGAGCTGGGATGGGGCTCAGAGAGAGGAGTGACTGGTCTTGGGTCAGATTTCAAGCAGCAGAGCTGGACTGGAACCCAGGTTTCCAGCTACAAGTCAGTTTCCTTCTCTACCCTGTTACTACATGGATGTCTGCAGGGAAATTCAAATGTCAGAATTTTTACTAGCTTTTCAAAAAACATGCTGATGAAATTTCTTAAGATGGCTTTGGAGATTGTGCACGTATTTCAGCTACTCATGCTTGTTCCTTTCAGTGGGTCATTGCAAGTTGACAGCTCAGGAACTTTCCCATGAGAAGAGCTCTCCATGAGTCCTGGCCTGGTCTTTCCTTTGGGAAGTGCTTATGGCTTTTTAGAGGGGCAAGGGGCTTTCTGCCCACACTAGGTGCTTGAAATGGCAGGAGGACATGGAGCAGGTTCTCTATGATCCGAGCAGACGGAGTAAAGGAGGAGAGAGTCCTCGAGCTCTCAGCGGCTTTTCAGGCTTTTATTGGGATTTACCAGATACATGGCAGGCAGGGATGCTGAGGGGCTGGGAGGCTGGCAGGCCTCCCAGCCCCTAACAGGTCTTCATTCTCTCTGGGTTCTCTGGCCTTCTCTCACGTTCTCTCAGCTTCTCTGCTCTTCTCGTGGTTCTCCTGGCGTCCCCATGATGCCACCCCCATAAGCGCAGTCTCTCAGCCCAGGTGTACCCATTTACACATGCCCACACCGTACACCAGGTGCCCACCATCAGACATGCATTCAGGACCACAGGGTTCCGTCATCTATCCTGATGGCAGGAGGGCAGAAAAGCCTGATGCTTTACTTACCCTCCAGTGCTCTCTCCTCTCTCCTTGCCTGGGCCACACGCTCTTCTCCAGGAGCCTTTTTCATCCCTGACAAGTTGTCTCAAACATCTTTGTATCCTCCATACTCAGCACATCATTTAATTGATGGGATAGTAATTCTCACCTGGAGGATGCAGCTTGTGGTCTGTAGCCTTTGCGGAGCTATCATTTCCTCGGGCCTCTGGTGAACATCCAGCAGGTGTTCAGAACTTACTTTAAGAAATCAGTGTATGCACTTGTCATTTTCAGAATAGCGTATCAGAAATGGAATCACTAAGTCTCTGGACACTGTATTTATTTTTTAGTGTAATGGACACGTTAAAGCCTCGAAGCACATTTCCAAGTTGTCATTCAGAAAGATCGCTCAGTACCTGTTCTCCAGCAGAGTATAAGAACACTGACTCTCCTGCTCCAAATCCTAGCTGTTAGCTTGAACCATGTGAAATTGTCAACATTCAGGCATTTTGATCTATAAAAACAAGAACTTTGGATTAATGAACTTAATATTATTACTTTTTGAAATCTGTAATTTGTTTGGTAAGAGTGCCCCTTTTTAGTACTGCTGTTTATTGGGTTAGTATTAAGATGGACAATTTTTTGGTATGTTTATTGGCCATTTATATTTTGTGAAATCCCTAGTCATGCTTTTTTCTTTATTACCCTATTGCTATGTTTCTGTTTTATTTTTGAGAGCTCTGTCTATATTAGAATTACTAACCTTTTATATGTTGAAATATTTTCTGGAGTTTTTGGCATTCTTTGAAATTTTTATGTGGTCAGATATTTTTGCAGATTTTTTGATACCTGTGAATGATGTACTTGTCTGTACCTCTTGTTGAAATATTGCTTTGTTTGGATATTAATATTATTCAGTTTAAAAATTTTTTAAAAACAACTTTCTTGGTGTTATTTCCCAGATTTTTTACTAAAGTGGGAAGTCACCAATGATAAGACACATCACTATTTGATGAGCCACTAATAGAAAATAAGATGCCATGTACATCAGGACATATCATTGGTTATAAGATGCATCTTGATTTTAGAAATGTGAAAATATGAAAACAGAAGGTGTCCTAGGGTTGATGAGATACCATGCTTAATAAGTGTTGATGGTTAAGCTATTCATCTCATCAACTCTTGCCGCAACTATATGTAGTCTTGAATATTTAACCAGTGGAGTCTGTTCTTTGAGTGTGCTTCTAGCCCATCACCATTTGATATTCGTGAACACACGGGGCCTCAGGATTTGCAGGAAACTTGGTGATCATCTAGTCCAAGTCTCTTGTGACTTAAATTCCCTCACAACATTCCTGCCATGTCACTCCCTAACTTTTGATGGCAAACAATATGAACTCTCTGCGGTCTAGATTTTAGGTTAGTGTCCTTACCCATTCTCTTAGAGTGGGTGCAGTTGTAAGTGTTCTCCGATTTTGTTGAGTGACTTGTCAGAGAAATTAGCACAGCTCATGGACCTGAGTCGGACCAGTAGGGGGCAGTGTTGTGCCTTCAGCAGCAGGGGTGCTGTTTGAGAACCTGAGGTTTTGCTGTGGTAACATTTCTAGAGGGATGGAGTCTCTCCCTGGGGCAGGAAAGGGCAGGCCCTGCTACTTACTGCTCACCTCTTTGCTGCCTTTGGCGTCTTTGGAGAACTTCTAAGCTAAAGAGTCTGCCTACACAGAGCAGCAGTTCAGTTCTACCCAGTTCTGTTCTTCAGTTGTTTGAGAAGGAGGGAGAAACCCTCACAGTTGCCTCCTTGCTCACAGCAGATGGTCTTGGGCAGACTGGGCACTGGTGGTCAGCTGAATGTCCTGCTGCCATGTTAATGCCTCAGTGATCCTTTCAGGGAAGAGGGGAGACAGAGGACATCTCACATGGGGTCCCTGGGCAGCAGCTTCTGAGCAGACAGACACCTTTCCCCTGTGTTGGAATCTCTGGCTTCTGACATGGTTTCAGCTTTTGTATGAAAACCTTTGCACTTGATAAACAGCATCGTCTTCCATGACATTCTGCTGACTCTTTTTATTGGGATAGTTGTTTTTTTTTCCCCTCCTGCCACAGGTTATGGGGGAAGATATCGTCCCAGAAAAAAAAAAAGATGAGACTCACACGGAGGTGAAGTGCATTGGCTCTGCAGCTCTGGCTGCCTTGGTGATTGCATCTTCGAAAGAATTTGAAGACAAATGGTTCGGAAAGATAAAAGAGCACTTCTGCCCTCTTGAAAGTCAGCTCCGTACAGAGACTCAGGTCTTGGCTTCACGGTCCCTATAAAAACAAAACATCTTGCCCTGTATTAATTGTCCTTGTTTACTTCAGACAGGATTCACTGCCAATCATGGAATATGGTGAATTACAAATGATTTTTTATGTTTTATAGAAATGGCTTCTGTCCCAGATTATTTCTACTGTATTCAGTTTCTTGATTTTTTGTTTTCTTTTTGGATTTTTGCCATCACTTGTGGGTACTGTATCTTACCTCTTAGAAAATATCTGTTGAGGAATTTTATAGAAGAGATTTTCAGGATTTTATAATCTTTTTAAAAGCTACTTCATTGTAACCAGCATGGCAAGACCACATTGTCTAGATGATTCATCAGAAATGACCAGGATTGCTGAAATGTGATCGTAAGCCGTTTCTAAGAAGGGATTTCTAAGATCCGGATCTGTGAGGGCTCAGGTTTCCCTAGCCAGGAGGCTAACCTGTCAGTTCAAGGGTGCTGGCAGGAGACAGAAGATGCCAGGACCACGACAAAGGACTTGATTTATTCCTCATAGCCCAGCAAACAGGATAGGGGCGAGGCACATGGGCCTGAGCGAGTGACAGCACACACAGTAGGTCGGTGACAGGAGAGGGCCTGAGCCTGGGAAACTCAAGCTTTCATTGCAGGCCCGTGGGCTGTCAGCGCACCGGCCTTGTGCTCCAGAAGGAGGCAATCTCTCCTCCTCCAAGGCTGTTAGCTGTGCAGACAACCTTGAAAACATCGTCTGGGACAGAGGGCAGACGGGCAGAGACCCGGGGAGCACCGGCTCACAGGGCGAGCAGCCTCTCCGTTCAGCCCCACAAACTGCAGTCCCAGTCTGTACACCTTCACGTGTAAAGCGCCACTCTGGAAGAGCGCCCTCACGAGGAGTGGAATTTCACAACAAACCAAAAATGTCATCGAATGTCGTGCCACACAACTCTTACTTGCTTTTTCTCTGCACAGGGTAGAGAATTCCAGCCCTGGGCAGAGATGCCCGGGACGTCCCCCCACTTTGCCTGCTCATTCCGTGTTTCCCAGGCCCCTTCCCCAGACTGGCAGAGGCCTGGTCTGGTTCACGTGTGGACTCCTTTTAGGAAGGGCGAGTGATCTTGACGAGCAATTGCAAGTTTAGTCATTTAATCTCCCATGTGAAGCCTTGTAGGATTAATAGACATTCCAGTGTCTAGGAACTGTTAACAATGGGGAGACTCCCTCAGCAGCTCTCCACCACCCTCCATCCATGGAGTCAGTCGCAGTCACTCCTGTGTGCTACCTCCTGTGGCTACGGTGGATGCCCGGGTATCGGCTGGTTGAGGGTGGCCCTGGGGCTGAAGCCCCACCTGGCGCACAGCTGGCCACACTCCTCACCATGTAGCCTTTGGCTCCCTTGGGCTTCGTCTTGCCCCAGAACCTGGGGGTGTCCATAACATTCCCCTTTAGGCCTTCACATCGGCCACTCAGTCGGGAGCCTCTCCCCACCCCCACCATGTGGCTAAATGACAGTCAGCTTTCATGTCGCCCCTTAGTTTTGACCTTTCGGGGTCGTGGTCCTCACAGGTTGTGGCTGGTCTCACTCTTGTGTTCTTCTCTCCCATGCGGGCCCTTACTACTCTCATGTCATCTCTCCGCTGCATAAAATCAGAAACTAGGACTGTTTCATATTTGTGCCCACACAATGTCTGGCACCCCACTAAACATTTGTTGAAAAGAATTACTGAATTAACCAGCCAGCATCTTACTTTGCGCTAAAGGTTAATACCCCAGAGGTCCCACACTTGAACCCAAGCACCCTATTTCTCTTCCTATAACCAAACCCCCTTCCTCTTGTTCCTCTCAGCTTCCTAGAAATGCCCTTTTCTCCTCTAGCCTCTCTCGGCTGCCTGTCTCCATCCCAGACCCCTTGCCAGCTTGGCCCACGCCATTCTCCGGCCTTGCTGCCCGGATGCACGTCAGCCGCCTGAGTGGCTCCCTGATCTGCTCACCCCCCCCCCACCTCCTGCTCACACCCCTGGCAGCAGTGTGCCCCTGCGTGTGGGACCCAGCCTCCCCCACTCCGGGGCCTGGGCGGTAGGTGATGAAGGGCGGGAGAGGGCACACAGGAAGACAGGGCACTTCTGGGTTTCGTCACACGAGTCATCTTGATCATTTCCAGCACAGATGGCGAATATAATTAATTGAGCAATGACTGTACCAAAGAAAATTCTTAAGCCTGCCTATGGAGACACCCCCACCCTCCTGTCAATGAGTGATTCACTCAGAAGGTGAGCGAATGTCAAGCACAGATGTGACTGCTGGCTCTCGGCTGGCCCCGGCGGGAGTGCGGAGGGAGGCGTCCCCGGGGAAATTCCTGCCTTTATGCTCTGGGAAGGCCTGTCTTTGGCCTTTCTCCCACAGGGGAGTCTGCCGCTCTTGGAACTGGCGAAAGCCCTCCGTCCTTCACACTGTTACACACTGCAACCTCACCCTGAGGCCAAGGGATTGAGGAAATCAAAGTGGGATCTCAGAGTCCTTCAGGGGTTTCCCAGGCCCTTCGTGGGGCCCTGGCCTGCTCCTCCCCAGCTCCTCCCCCTCTGGGTTTTGTGCCCATTCTCGTTTCCTCTCAGGTGCTAGAACTCTTCAGGCTTCTTTCCACCCAAGCCCTTTCCCCATCCAGGTACCTCTTGGAATAGTCTGAAATCTTCCACCCCCCCATAGACGTCTGCTGGCTGTCAGTTCAGAGGTCACTCAGACAACGTGTTCCTGACCCCAGACTTGCTCAGGCCTCCCTTTAAAATGTCTTAATACCTGTGTCTTTTTTTTTTTTTTCCCTATTGGAATTTTTTTCAAAAAGTTTTTGATTTTTTTCATAGAACAGGGGTGTAGGCTAGTGGTGTGGGGGGTGAGAAGACTCACCAGAGACATAGTAGGGAGAAAAACAGGCAGATCTATTGAAATACACTGCTAAGGGGAGCAGTGGGTGAGACGGAAGAGGTCTGTGCCATATGTGCCTGGCCAGGGATCGAACTCAGGCAATAGTGGTGACAGTGCTGAGATGTAACCCCTAGGCCACCAGGGAGGCCCTGGAATTTCTTTTTTTTTAAATAGAGATGACATTGGTCATCTGTGCAACAACACTGTGATGCAGAGGTAGAGGTCACACCCCCCCAGGTGTTTGTTACAATACCACACTCACCACCAGGGCTCCATAGTCCCTAGGGTCCCCCCACATTCCCCTCACCACCACCCCCCCCCCCAGAAACCTCTATTTTATATTCATATTTCTAGGATTTGTTTTTTTGGTTTTGTCGGTGCCTACATTTTGTTTCTCTATAGTCCACATATGTGCAAAACCGTCTGGTGTTTGTCTTTTTCCTTCTGACTTATTTCACTTGACGTTAACGCCTCCAGCTCCATCCATGTTGTCACAGATGGCATCAGTTCACCTTTTTTGATTGCCAGTAGTATTCCATTGTGTACATAAATCACATCATTCTGATCCACTCATCTGTCCTTGGGCACAGAGGTTGTTTCCGCAACTTGGCTGTTGTAAATAGTGCTGCAATGAACGCAGGAGTGCATCTGTCCCTCCAGAGTAGTGTTGATGCATTCTTCAGCTAGAGGCCTAGGAGTGAAAACCTGGGTCATAGGGTAGATCTGCTTTTAACATTTTGAGGAACTTCCCTAGATTTTCCGTAAGGGCTGGGCCTGTCGACATTCCCACCAGCAGTGTACCAGGTTGCCTTTTCCTCCATGTCCTTATCCACGTCCTCATCTTTTGGATACAGGTGCAAGGTGTTACCTCATTGTGGTACAAAATGTTTGCTGGTGTAATCAAATGAATTCTCCTGCTTGGTCTCAGGCTGCCTTGAGTTTGGCCCTTTCTGGTGGAGCTGGGCTCCATGGACATGCCAGGCCTCCCCAGGCCTCAGGCTCCAGTAGGGAAGCCTGACCTGGTGAACCAGCAGCTGTGGGTCTGTCCCTACACAGCCCCCCTGCCATTGCCAAAGCTGCCCCTGCCACCTGTGCGGCCCCACGTCTCCACAGAGATGTGCTGTATTTCAGAAACATCCTGGACAGAAACAAATCCAAGTCCACTGCTTACTAAAAAGATGGTTTAAATAGTACCTTTCTAGGGCTTCTGAGATTTCACCTACAAAGTAGTTTACATTCTACTTTCCAGGTCTTAGTCCTAAAAACAAACAAGCAAACAAAACTGGGAGAGAATTATACAGAAGACCCCAAAGTGCTGAAGGAGTGGCTGTACGTGCAGAACATTCCAGCACCGCGTCCCCCGGGCCGGCCCTGCCCCCTAGCTCAAGCAGGTGCGCTCAGGGCCTTGGACCCAGCTGAGCTCAGCTGCACAGCCAGAGTGGAGATGAATGTCCCTGGAGCCGGGAATGATGGTCCTCACGAGGGGCAGCCCGAGCCTGTCTCCCCAAGCCCAGTGTGTCCACCGGGGACTTAGCTTCAATGGTCAGGAGAAATGCGGGACAGGCACCTCCCTGCTGGGGCCCACCCTTCCTGATCCTCCCCCTCAGCAGAGGGTGCTTTCATCACCTAAAGCTTCAGCGTCCTGTCTGGTCAGCCCTTGAGCTAAAGACCACCCGCCCCCCTTCTCTGGGAACAGCCTCATCCATACCGGCTGGGGGCCTGAAGTGACTGGTGAGAGGAAGGAGGGGCTGCGAGAGGAAGCTGGGCCTATCGGAGTCTCCTGAAGATTTAGAAAGGATGTTTCCTTCTCCTGTGCCTGACAGACAGGTCGGAACAGCGGGCAGCTGTGTTCGGCTGTTTTTGAGGAAATGGAAAAGGGAGAGGCCCAGGAAGGGGCAGAGACTCATGCTCACCCCACGTACCCCACAGAGGAGAGACAGGCGCCCTCAGGAAAGGACCGTCTCAAACAGAACGCAGTGAACGGAACGGGGACGTGGCTCTCCTGTGCATGCCCGCAGCTCGCTGGCCACAGACCTGCTCAGGAGGAAGCTGAGAAAGGAGCAGCAGCTTCTGAGTCCAGCCGCTTCTTGGACCAAGTCTGGAAGATGACGCCCTTGAAGGTGCAGGTCTGGCACTTTCAGGACAGGCCAGCAGGGCCAGCAGGTGGAAGGTCAAGGTGAGGCAAGAGAGACAGGGGAGTGTAGGGGGTCAGAATGTTTCATTTCCCCTGCAGAAGCAAAGTCTCGACCAGTCAGGTTCATGGTGCTGTTGGGGTCCCCATAACATTGCATCCGGGCTCCTACCCTAGAGGAGGAGACTGGCCACCCAGACCTGATGAACACTGACAAGGGTGGGGGCTGGGCTAGTCCCCACTCAGTCCTGACTGAGGACCCCGCTGGTGGGGGTGGTCCCTGGTGTGGGAGATGCCTCTGGTGGTTGGTGGAGCCCCCCAGCACATCAGACTTCACCCTCTCATGTTCTTCAGGTGGTGGTTGAGCGGGCGTCGCCCCAGCTGGCAGGAGTTCTCCCGGTGCAGGTGAGCCTGGTTCTCTGCTGGTTGCTGGGCTGGAGGTGCCCCACTGCTGCCGTTGACCTTCCCTGAGCGGAGACGCCTGTGTTCAAGGTTGGCCCCCCAGCCCCCAGAGGGCGGCCTGCCAGGGAGGCGGGTGTGACTGTCGCCTGGAGCAGAGAAAGCCTGGGTTGGGGAGGCCTGGAAACTTGGATAAGGACTTGTTTTGGCTTTAGGCCATCCCCTTGCCAGGTGTGTGAAGCCACTCCTTGTCCCATGGTGGAGATGGTGTCTTGGGAAGAAAGCCCGGGGCTGGGGGGAGGGGGGAAGGGCCTTGGGGGTCCATCCCAGGAAGGAACAGCCCAGCTGTGTGTCAGCAGTCCTGAGGGGTCAGCAGTTGCTGGGAGGGCCACCGCGCCATAAGAACCCCACGCTCAGTGGCTTAGAGACTAAAGGTTTATTTCTTGCTTATATGCCTCAGCGATGGTGGGCCGGTGGGGTGGAATGGGAGGCCTGTTCCCTGTAGCCCGTAGGGCCTCTAGCTGGGGTGAGGGGCTCCATCCTGGGGCGTGCTCCCACGGCACCCAGCCTCAGGCCACTCACAGTCCACTGGCCCCCACGAAGCACGCTGACAGCCCCGCTGGCAGGGACTACATGAGCAGGGTGCCCAGAGGACAAGCAGTACTTGTGAAGCACTGGGATGAAGCCGGGCTGATGGGGAGAAGGTGCAGTTCCTAGGAGGGCGGCGGGGGCTGGCTGGTCCCCAGTCTGCCCTGCCTGAGAAATTGCAGGTGGGTGCTATGATCCCGGCTGTGAGGCTGGTGGGGGTTTGGGAAGGGATGGGGAACAGGAGGCAGAGCAGGGCTTTGGGGTTCCTGCCACCCCCACCAGCCTTAACTTCCTGAACTTTCTCCATCTGCTGTGAAATCCAGGTTAGAGGACTCTACGTTGCTCGCCCCCCTAGCCTCGTCACAGCGTCGGCTGGTTAAGAGCCGCATTGGGGTCGGGCCTTAAAAAATCTTCAGAAACCAAAGGGCCTGTGGTTGTGCTTGTGCTTTCAAAAACTGAGGAAAAAGGAAAGTGAGGACAGCAGCACGATTTAAAAGAAAACGGAGCCAAGATGCCTGTGCTGGGCTGCGAGCCGGGGACACAGAAAAGGGCAGGGCGGAGGGAGGGCCCTCTGAGAATGGAGACTTGGAGGCCACGTGCTGTCAGGATTCGGGGGCCACCAGCCTAAGCTTCTGAGCTGGAAATGGGGCAATGGGGGAGACTGCTGAGATGATTTGGGGGGCTGGGGTAGGGCGTGGAAACAGAAAGATGCGGGTGGGGATTTTGCACCAGCTTCTCGGGCTGGAACAACCTGCATGTCTGTGTCTGTCTCCTACACACACACTATCGGTTCTCTGGGGGGGGTGTCCCCCAGCCTCCTCAGGCTGGGCTGGCTGGCCGGCCCTCCTCTGAGCTCCCTGAGGTCACCATTTCTTCTTTATACCCCAGAGAGGTTGTACCTCGGGACCTAGAACCAAACCATGAACAAAAAGGACACTGAATCTAAGAAACAATGAATGATGGGCTTGTGGTCCTTTAGGATGTCAACAAGCCAGAGAGGCCGCTGGTTCTGGAAGATAGTCTGGGGGCTGTGAGGACAATGCTGAGTCTCCCTCTTGCTTGAGGCCGCCTGGGCTCTAAGGCAGGGCCACTTCCAGATCCTGACGACTCAAGCCCTTGACGCCTGCCCAGACGCCAGCGACCTCTCTCCAGCCCTCGGCTCTTCAAAGCAGGACCCTGAGCGCCTGGGCTGCTTCATCCAACTCATCTCCTGGAAGCCTTGGCTTATCTTCCCTGGTGGTGACAATTTCAAAAGCACCACATAAAACGCAGTGGCAGGTTCTGGGTCCTCATCCTTAGTTCATCAGCCCAGGGACACCCCAACATTACATCTTTACAAGGAAGAGGAGTTTCTCCAATTCTTCCAGAAACTTCCAGAATGTCCCCAGGCCTCCTGAGTCTCTCTGTCCTGAATTTCTGGATTGTACTTGGTACTGGGAAACAGGAGTACCTTGATCAGACCCACCCTCTGCCACTCAGTGCCTCAGTTTACCCATATGTAAAACTTGGGCTGCATCTGCCCTTTCTTGGATTCTGAGAGATTCCGGGAATAATATTAAAGCATTGTCTGCACTTTAGAAGAAAACACTTCTATTTTCTTGATTTTGTCCTCTATCTCCCTGGAACCTTCTAGACCGTGCCCCTCCCCCACCAAAGAGGGTAACCCAAGGACTGCTGGAGGTCAGCGAGTGAATGTTCTCTCTCCTGGGAACATTCAAACATAGGCAGTGATTTTGTCCAAGTGCCTTTAGTCAAAGGGAAGCAGGTTCAAACTTGATAGTTGTTGAGATGGCATCTTTAGGCCAGAAAATCCAGGAATGCAGGGCCCTGGCCCTGGGGAGGGACTCTTTAGAAGTGAGGTGAGGCCTGTAGAAAGGGTCTCCAGGTGTGGACTGCCCTGGGCACCAGGCCCAGCTGCTCCAGCTGCAGCCGAGTGGGCCTGTAGGCATTGAGGTTGCTGTACAGAGCAGGGGTGCTGTCATGGGGTCTTGGGGAGAAGTGGGCCTTTGGGGTCAGGGCCCCCCAGGGGCTGTGGTAGGGCTGAAACCTGGAGGGTGGAGGTGGGTTTGGGGCCAGGGGGCTGCTAGGCCCCGAGGATGCAGACAGACTGTGGTTCTGTGGGTTGCTGCCCGTCGAGGGGCTGCTGAAGGGGTTGGAGGAGGTGCGGTCACTGGTCGAGCCGCTGCTGCTGCTGAGGCGGCTGGGTGGAGGGCTGGGGCCCGCTCTGGGCTGGAGGGCCGTTACCAGCCTGGGGGACTTCAGGCCCATCACTGGTTTGGAGGTGGCGTAGAGGTGGCGGAACTCCTGGTCAAACAGCTCCACAGCCTGGCCCGTGAACTTGGAGAGGATGTTCCGGTGCACGTGTCCGCAGAGCCAGGTGAAGCTGGAGGGGAGAAGAGAGTGAGGGGTCGGAAGGAGGTGGCCCAGGCCTCAGCGGGCATTTGCAGTGCCAGCTAACGGCAGGCAGCGGTTCACACAAGCCTACCACCCCAGGGAGGGAGCCAGCATTACGCCCCTCACAGAGGATGGGGACATAGCTCCGACACCAGCAAGTGACCCCATGAATAATTGAGATGCCAGAGTCAGTGGTGGCCTCAGGGCTCCCTCTGGGGCTCGGACTATGGTCCCTTAGAAGATCCCTGCAGAGGCACAAAGGGGCCGAGTGCCAGAGTCATCAGCTCTGTGCTCAGGGTTACCCGGCCCCTGGGACTTCTGGCCTCCACTAGTGAAATGGGGGGACACTTGCCTCGTGTAACCAAGAAGTTCCCTATAATCTGTGAAGGCAGCTGCAAAAAGTGGCTGCCTCTTGAAGGAAGGGGCTGTGTTGTCATGACAACCTGAAGGTTATAGCCCCATTTTCAGGCACCAGACCCAAAAGGGGAGGGAGACCCCCAGGCTGGTTGGAAGTGGAAGAGAGCCCAGGGCGGGCTGGGAACAGAATGACTGCAAAGGTATGCTTTGCCCAGACACCCATGGGCCTCCCCTCAGGCAGAGGCCTGGCCCTCCCTCAATTATAGGTTTTAAATGTAAACAAATGGCTTCTGGCATGGATGTATTTTTGATTTCCTGATTGAAACGAATTTCTCCCTCTCTGATGGAAAACCCGCCTTCCCTCTCGAAGCCCTGACAGCCAGGAAGACCCACCAAGAGCGGCGGGATGGAGACTCCCGGGCGCCTCCGAAGGTAAATCCAGGGGCCGGGAGAAAGGGGCAAGTGGTCAGAGGCGGATGGGTCACCATGGGCAGCCCAAGTGACCCCACCAAGGGCCTCAGCCTCGAGCCCCCAGCCCACCTGCCTTGGGGCAAAAACGTAGGACACAGCGTGTGGGTCCTGCTCTCTGAGGCAGGGCCAGGGCCAGGCAAGGACAGGGTGATCCTGGGAAGAACAATGAAGCTTTGTTTAAGCCTCACCTCCCGCCCAGGAGCCACCTACTCAACTCCAGAGAGGTGAGTAACTGACTGAGCTAGAGCCAGCCGGGTGACAGGGAGGCAGCAAACATGGGGACAGCCACAGGCTCCACTCAGAAATCAGCCGCCTGCGTTAATTGGGAACCAGGCTAGACTAGGCCATGCAACTGCATGCTTTGCTCAACGAGACAGGCCCCAAGGTGCCCGGGCAACTTTTTAGGCCCCCACATCTCCCTTATGACCCCACCCCCCAGCCCCCACCCACACACCTTGCACCTCACACCCATAGGCCCCTGCACATCCTGTGCCTCATGTAGGTTCCTGCAGCTCCCTCACATCTTCCTGTCCCTTTGCCCTGCAAGTCCGCACATCTGTTCTCTGGCTCTTACACATTCTGTGTCATCCCCCAGGGGGAGAAGTAGATTTGATTTTTATTGGGTTTTTTTTTTTTTTTTTGGCTGTTAAGTACATAGAATGACAACCAGGACTGGAGTCAAGCGCTAGTTAGAAGGCCAAGCTGGTATCATGCGACGCCCATGCCTTAATTTGCACCTCCCCATCTTTCTCATCTAAGGCCCAGTTCCCAAGGAGCTGCCCTCCAGGACCTGCCAGCAGAAGTGGGGCTCCCCCCTGGCCTATCCCAGCGCACATTCTTAGCTCATGCGGACCTTAGTGCACGACCACACTACTCGGGGGTCATTTAGCCACGGTTTTTGATCGAGAGAAGAGCTCTGTGTCCCAGGCACCAGGAACAGCGCTGGCACTGGGGTCAGACCCTCAGCAAGATCTGAAATGCCGAAGGGCACATCTGCCTGTTCCCCCCTGCCAGGGCTGAAGCAGCATGTGTGTGAGAGAGAGAGTCAGAGAGAGAGAGAGAGAGAGAGAGAGTCAGAGAGAGAGAGAGAGAGAGCCCAGAGACAGACGGGCAGAAAGAACGGGTGGGGGCTGATTTGTTTTTTGCTTTTACTGGAGACAATCCTGAGCATTCCAGGGAACACGAGCCTCTGGAAGGCTGGAAAACAGGTCTCCTTTGAATGTCAGTGCAAAAACCTTGCAGTTGTCTTGGCTGCCCCCAAGAGTGTATTGCCCACCAGCTAGCTAAGGAAGGGGGTGACACTGCAGCAAAGACTTATGCTATTCCCATCTTCACCCCCTCCAGTCAATGAGAAGAATATGCCTCAAAGGGGCATCATCTGATGGCGCCTGGCCCAGGGCCTGGCCCAAAGTTCTGAAGGTGCTCAAATCTGACACTCCAAGGTTTTCACAGTTGGTTTCCTCAAGATGCTGTGCTCTGGAAAGCAGATAATTTGATTTGAGGGCAAGGAAGGCCCTAGCAGATGGAGGAGGCGTTGCCCTTCCCCTAAGGACCTCTACTCCCTGAGCCAATGACCTTGCCCTAATCAAGGAGGAGGCAGTGACCACTCACCGAGCTCCCTTCTCTACTGTGGGTCCTTCTGCCCTCTGCCTGGCATCTAGCACCCTGTACCCTTCTTTAGTTCAGGATCTAAATCCCTTTCTCCCTGAAGGATGGATAATCACTGCAGTAACCCCCTCCCCCACATATGTTATTCAATTGATTTTTCCTTTGCTAACCTGTTTGATGCTTTATCCAGTGGGTCTCTGGGTAATGAATGAACAAGGATGAGGTGGGTCGTCTGAGGTCACCACGCCAGAAAGCTGTAGATCCTGGAACTGAACCTCATTTATCTGACTTGCAGGTGGGGCCACCACATGCAGTCTCCCACAATCCCGAAGGCAGCCTGAGGTCCCGTGGAATTTCGAGAAGCTACTCTGTGCTAGAAGCTATGCCATGCATTTGGCAAGTTTTATCTTATTATACCTTACAATAACCTGCAAGGGAAGTATTGTGCCCATTTTACAGATGAAGAAAGTGGTGCTAAAAAGAGTTATATCGTGCACTCTAAGAGGGGCATTTTTCTGGTGTGTGAATTATATCTCACTAAATGTGCTAAATTAAAAGAATAGAAATTATTTGAAGTACAGTGGGACATGCCCACAGCAACAACAAATACTCTGACTTTATTACCGACATCTGAGAGATGTGCGGAGAGAGAGAGGACTTCGTGCCCTGTGGCAAAAAGGAGGGAAACTGAAGCACCGGGAAGTCCCTTTCTACCTGAAGTCCTCCGGGAAGGCCCAGCCAGCCCCACCACCAGCCTCATGCATGTGATGGAGCCCCAGCTCTGAGCAGAGGGGCACCCTGGAGGCAGCTGGAGGGCACATGTGCCTGGGGCTGGTGTCCCAGAGCCTCTTGAAGGTGGAGGCCAGTGCTCACCTGTACGATCCAGACAGGACATATCTCCAGTCGGAGATGATGAACTTCTCCTGGATTTGGCCAGCGAACTTCCTGCCTGACTTGGCGCAGTACACCTCCCCTTCCACGCTCCGGATGGAAATGTTCTGTGGCGAGGCAAGTCACGTGCGCTAGTTATACCCTTGCAGACACACATTTGCATCAGGAAAAGTCTGGAGGGACATTCGCCAAAACGTCAACAAAGGTTTTTCCTAGTGAGTGAATTATGGGCTATTTAAACTTTGTTTGATTTTCTAAATGGACTGCAAGGTCCTGGCATTATTTGCATAATGAGGCCACGGGAGGAATGATCAGGTGGTATTCATCAAGCTGACCCAGGACTCATAGGGCCTCAACTCAGCTGCAGCCCCTTGGTGTAGAGGGGATGGCAGGGAGAAAGGCAGGTCCCATGGAGGCTGGCCTGCCTGAGGAGCCCCACAGGACCCAGCAGCTCGAGAGCTGGGCCTGCTCACGGAAATGTGGGTGCTTTTACGCTTTACTTGGAATTAGAGGTCTCCAATTTGATGTGACTTAACATGCCTTGACCTCTGGGTTTCTTGTCTGCCTACCTGGAGGAGGAAGTGGAGAGCTTGGTTAAGTCCAAGAAGACTGGGGGCCTCCCTGGTGGCGCAAGGGGTTAAGACACAGCACTATGAAGCTAACCGCAGCCACTGCAGCACAAGTTCGATCCCCGGCTGGCCAGGGAGCAACCCACATGGCGAAGCAGACGTCTCCTGTCTCACCTGCTGCTCCCCTCAGCGGTGTATCTCAATCTGCCTATTCTGTTCCCCACTCTGTCCTGGTGAATCCTCTCCCCTCCCACCCACACACCTCTGGCCTGTACCCTCAGCTCCTGTATGCAAAAATAAATAAATCTTTAAAAAAAAAAAAGTCCAGGAAGACTAGCTTTCTGTTGGGAACCATTGAGTCCTAAACATGAGGACGGGAGAAAGGAAGATGAGCAGGTCGGGACCCTACAGCCCCTTCTCTCCCTTGGCCATTCTCTTGGAGGGTGTGTATTCCCTTCGGTGTAGCTACAAGATGGTGGAGGCTGTCTAACCTACACTGGACTTGCAGCAAGAAATAAACCTTTATGATGCTAAGTCACCGATGTAGGCCCATCTGTTACGAGGCACAGCCTGTCATCTCCTGACTCACAGAAAGTATCTTTTGGACCCTCACTGGAGGACCCTACCTTGAGGTGACTGTCAGAGATCTGGACTTTGTCACACATCTCCTGGAAGAGTGTCACACCTCCCTGGTCCAGGAGCACACAGACGAACACCCCGCGCTTGTTGGCCGCTTCTAGAATGTCACAGAAGATCTCCACATCCGTGAAGACATCCATCAGGATGGCCAGGACCTGGACCAGGGCAAACAGGTTGAATAGCAGAAAAGTCAGGGCCAAGTGCCAACTGGTTTCAGGAAAACTTCCTCCTAAGCCCTGGTGGGCCTGGGAGAGTGGTTCCCGGGGCTGCTCTGGGAGCAGGGGCTGTCTGAGGGCAGGGGTCAAGGATGGGAGAGGAAGAGCTGGCAGAGGTCAGCTGCTGTCCACACCTCACCTCCCCAGACCCCCGTAGAGTGAGCGTGCACAGGAGGAAGGAGAGAACCCAAGGAGAGAGAGCAGGCGGGGAGATAACTGGGCAGGGATGGATTTAACCACATGAATTCTCAGCACTTAGAACTCTACTCTTAGAATGCTAAGGCACAATATGGCCACTGGTTTGATTTTAAGCTGTGGAGATGTCATCTCAAACAAAAGCCCCCCTGAAGGCCCCATGTAAAAACCAGACTAGATGAGCTGCCCCAGTGGGGTGAAGGAGTCCTCAGCCAGCAGGTACCAGCTCTTTTACCACTGCAGAAACTTGGGGAGGCAGGAGCCCTAGATACCCAGTGAAGAGACACATGTCTGTGTATGAGGCAACCAATCCTTTTCCTTCTGCCAACAGCCCCCCAACTTCTACTTGAAGAAATCTCTCCTGCATCTCCTACTGGCCACAGGGATTGGTCGGGGTGGTCACAAGATCTGTCATTCAAATGAGAGTCAGCCCAGCAGGTCTACTAGGACTCTCGGGGAGAAGACGCCTTCTTTCTAGGAGAGTCGCTTGGCTGGTAGTTTATAAACAGCAGTTGCTGGCAGCCCTTTGGCCAACATAGGAAGCCAGCCTTGGAGAAAGCAGGGCCGAGAGGTGGAGACAGATGCCAGCGGCATCGTTTGAACATCTGGCCTCAGCCACGCTGGTCCTACCCTTTACTTGTTGGCTGTGCATGGATGTCAATGTAGGTTCCTCTTCTTAAACCTGTTTGGATTTACTTTTGGTCACCCAATCAATATCTACGTTGTGGCATGTCAACCAGTGGGTTATTAAGCAGCTGAAAAGTAACATTTAAAAATCTGGGTTAGGGCCTCCCCGGTGGCGCAGTGGTTGAGCGCTGGGTTGCGAAGCTGCCCGCGGCCTCTGCGGCGCCGGTTCGATCCCCGGCTGCTTCCCGGCCACCGGAGGAGGGTCCCGCATGGCGCGCAGACCTCTCCTGCCGCCCGCTGCTCCCCTCAGCAGTGTACTTCGGTCCTTCTGCCTGCTCTGTTCCCCACTCTGGCTCTGGTGAATTCTCTCACCCTCCTGCACTTCTGACTGTACTCAGTGCTTGTATAAACAAAACAAACAAACAAACAAACAAACAAAGAAAACATGCCTCTATAAAAAAAAAAAAAACTTAAAAATCTGGGTTAAAAAACTTCGCAGTAAATCCAGAAATAAACCCACAGATTTATGGTCAACTAATCTTTGACAAAGGAGCAAAAAATATGCATTGGAGCAAAGAAAGTTTGTTCAGTAATTGTGCTGGGAAAACTGGGTCGCTACATGCAAAAGAATGAAGCTTGACCACTACCTCACACCATACACAAAAATCAACTCAAAATGGATTAAAGAACTAGACATAAGACCTGAAACCATAAAATACATAGAAGGAAATATAGGCGAAACACTACGTGATTTGCACATCAAAGACATCTTTACAGACACATCACCCAAAGCAGTGATAGTGAAGAGAAAGATAAACAGCTGGGACTACATCAAATTAAAGAGCTTCTGCACAGCAAAACAGACAATAACAAAAACAAAGAGAAACCCCACCGACTGGGAGAACATTTTTGCACACAACACTAATGATAAAGGACTGATCACAAAAATCTGCAAAGAGCTGATGAGACTCAACAATAACAAAGAAAATAATCCAGTCAAAAAATGGGCAGAAGAGCTAAAAAGAAACTTCTCTGAGAGGAAATGCAACTGGCCAACAGGCATATGAAAAAATGTTCAACATCACTTGTTATCAGGGAAATGCAAATCAAAACTACCATGAGATACCATCTCACACCAGTGAGAATGGCACATCTTAAAAAAACTAGCAACAACAAATGTTGGCGAGGATGTAGAGAAAAAGGAACTCTTCTGCACTGCTGGTGGGAGTGCAAACTGGTCCAACCACTGTGGAGAGCTGTGTGGAGATTTCTGGACCTAGTAAACATAGAGCTTCCATATGATCCAGCAATTCCACTCCTGGGTATTTACCCAAAGGACACAGAAACATCAATTCCAAAGAGCACCTGCACCCCTATGTTTATAGCAGCACTGTTTACAATAGCTAAGCTTTGGAAACAACCCAAATGCCCAAAAATAGATGACTGGATCAAGAAGATGTGGTACATAGACACCATGGAATATTACTCAGCATTCAAAAAAGATAAACACATGCAATTTGCAGCAACATGGATGGCGCTGGAAGGGATCATGCTCAGCGAAATAAGCCAGAAAGAAAAAGAAAAATACCGGATGGTCTCACTCATAGCAGGAATCTAGAAAACTTAGATAAGGGACCAGGAAAATGAATAACTATAAGAAAGTAAAAATCAAACTCAACAAACAACTATGAACCAGAGACATTCTATGGGGGTTGGGGGCAGGGAAAGGAGGGATTGGGGTCAAAATAAGGGGGTTGCAATTGTATGGGGAATATAAAAATAAAATTAAAAAAAAAAAACAAACTGCGCAGCTGGGAAGCTGTTGAAGGGTCCTGCTTCAGACATACCAGGTGCCCGGCAGTTTCAGGCATGTCCAGGGCAAATCAAAGACTGCCCAGGATGGAAATTCAACCAGTCACCACTTGACAAACTTTTCACCAAATGAAACTGCACTGACTGGGAACTCATCTGCATAAAGTGGACCTGAGTGGGGACTAGTCCCACTTTTTTGTCTCTCAGAGGGTCTGCTAGGGCTACTTGGATACACAGCTGAAGTGCTTCTTGGGTCTGCAAAGACTGAGTCTCCGGGACGGCAGCTTCGAAGCCACAGATAAATGGCTGCTGTAACAGTTTTGCTGTAACCTGACCAGACTTCGGTCAATGCAGCCACTAAGACTGATAATTATAAAGGTTACATGAAAACAATACGTAAGACTTGCCGTATAATAAGTGCTCAACAGATGTGTATTAGCAACTCATCACATGAAAGAAGAAAACAGGAGACAAGGTGGTGTCCACTCTGACGGCCAGTGAGGGACAGGGCGCAGACAGGTAAGCGTGAAGCCAGCATTTGCCAGTCGCATCGGAATGGGGCCACAGTGATGATTTTCTTTCTTCAATGTAACAATGAATGGCATTTTTCTAATAATCATTTTTTGGACCACCAATATCTGGGAAATGCAAGATGTCACAGAGACAGATGAAATGGCTGAGGCCCTCTTGGAACGGCCTGCTGAGTTGATGTGTCTGAAAAAGGAAGGGACTATGGAGAAATCTGCTCACCCTGGGCTGGAAGTCAGGAGAAGTGCTCTCATGGGAGGCTTATGACCCTTTAGAACCAAGGCCCTGTTATCACAGGATTAAGTGTCTGTACTCTTTGAAGCCAACAGTACTAATCACAGCCAGCCCCTCTCTTTGCTGAGAGTTAAGAGCCTCCCCTCCCAAGGTATTGACAAAAGAGACCATTCTCTCTCTCCAGGATGTCAGTTAATCCTCCCAATCCTTTCTAGTGTGTCCTTGGGCAGGTGACCCAGAGAACAGAGAAGGGAACAGGTTGCAAATAAGCCATGTCCTTAGTTCAGGGAGGTTCAGAAATACAGGCTCTCCATGGCCAGTTTATCTCATTTCCCCCCTGTTGGGTTTCCTCCCAGCTAGCCTGATCGAGGCCAGTGACAGGCTGCACCACTCTCTCTGGGGCCCCTGCACAACTATGAGGCCTTTGAGGGTACAGTGAGTTTGAACCCCCCCTAAAGACAGGCCCACATCCTGAACCCCGGAACCTGCGGATGAAACCTTACTGGGAAAGGATCTTCGGAGCTGCGACTCATGCTCTCGGGACAAGGGCATCCTGACTTATCCAGCAGGCCTGAAAAGGGATATTCAAGCAGACTACATGCTCCATCTGGGGTCAAAACTCCATTTCGCCAAACTGTAACAGGGTGGTCCCCAGGAAAGGGGGAGGTTCCCTGCCCCACCCAAGGGAGGGTGGAGCTGAGCAGGAAGAGAAGCTGCAGGAAGAGACTGAGGAAGGAAGCAGGATGGAGCCAGGAGACCTGGAAGAGGCGCATGGAGCCTAGAGACACGTGAAGAAACTGCGCTTGCCTTTTGGTCGTGGACTAGGTGACACAGATGTGGGTGAGACCCGTGGGGAGGTGACCATGGCAGCTTTTATCTTGATGTTGATTTTGCTCTTTTCCTTCCGGGCTTGTCCGGTTGTTTGTGACCCTTTTCTGTGGGTCCCCACTGGAAGATGCTTTAGACTTTTAGCAGGCTTTGGGGCTTTGCTCTGCGCCATTCCCATATGGATGGACTTTTACCCACGAGGGGACGGGTAACTTTGGGTGCTTCATTTAGAAACTAGACTCTTTGCCTCACCTGTATTGTTTCCTAGTTTTTATTAAAGTTCCTTCCCATTAAAGTCTCCTATGTTTTGTGTTGATGCGGCGGATGGCAGAACCCATTTAGAATAGGCAGGTTTGCGGGGCTTGGGCTGCCCCTCTCCCTGTCCTATAACAAAACTGTTAACTTTAAAAAAAAAAAAAAAAGATATCTATGGACAGGCAGGAACCGGTTTCCAGCTAGACAGGACTTTCTTTTAGAACCGTGCAAAGATAATTGTTTTCTTTTTCTTCTCTCCATAGTAACGGGGGCCAGCTAGACTAAGTGCCAATGAGCTCCAGGGAATATAACCTATAATCAGCCCTAATTCTTGGAAAACAGCTTTTGCAACCCCATCCTTCTACCCCCCTTCTTTTGTCCTTAAAAAATCCCCATGCAGGGCCTCCCTGGTGGCGCAGGCGGTTGAGCGCTGCGCTGTGAAGCTGTCTGCAGCCTCTGCA